TTTTGACTGCTTATTATACCTTCGTGAAGATAATTTATCCACTAAGTAATTTCGCAAAATTTTTTTCGATCAAATAGCACTGATTATCCGATACAATGTGATTTTGGCTAACTGTGCCAAAAACGTCTAAAATTAGTCATTAAAGTCTTTTGCTATGTTGCGCATTAAAATGTCAATCAGTTTTAATTTATAAAAATGTGATTATAATTGTCAGCGCTTTTTATGAAACTATTGTTTACACAATCAACAAAAAAAAAAAACTACAAGTAGAAACACAGAGAAACGGATCCACTTCAGATTCAAATACAAAAGTTCAAATACCAAAACAAAGTCTGAAACGAAGGTCGGACCCCATACGGCAGTTTTTTCACACTTCAGTTTTTATAGAATGATTATCTATTTACACCAAATAGAAGTGAGAAGAAGGAGCAAAAAATCAGTTTAATATTACAGAATGTTACCGAGCCAGACCCGAATCGATCGATGGTTTTTTTGCTGTTTTTTTTTGTATCTAATAGACACTTAAGTATATCAAGTTCCAAAAATCACCTCGGTGAAATCGGTGCTCGGCATTGATTTTTTCTTAAAATGTGCTCTATTTAGAAATTGATTATTTTCTTCAATGGTTTCTTGATTAATTACTTGGAAAAGCCATAAAATTGGATAAAAATTCCACGCAAACTATCATATCTGAATTGTTTTTTTTTTTATCATAGAAGTGATAGATAAGGTGCTCTAAAATAGCAAGATGTCATAGTTTTTAGTGATTCCTTTAATAGGATGTTCAATTTATGTGATCGTTTATCGCATTTTTTTCCAGATATGAAATGGATACTAGAAATGAAATTGTGTCAGAAATAATCAAATTTCATTCAAAACAATTTAAAAAACTGAACCAACATTTATTCCGAATAATTTAACTGGGACTTACGATAACAATTCGATATGAAATGAAAATGTATTGAGGTAGTGTATGCTAGAAATCAGTTGTCATCGAATTCATATGGAATTGAGCTTTTGAACAGAATTCACATTCACAATAGATGGTTAAGTGTGACCGTTTAAATCGGTTACAGTGAATAGGACACGATTAAGTTGTGGAAAGCTTGTAAATTAGCTTTTACAAACCGTGAATGGATTGAGCATTTGCTAGAGATTCATCTCTGAATAAATAAACAAGCAAAAGCTAATCGAATATTCAATTAAAACACGTAATTCCACCTTGCATACTTTCTACGCGGAAAACGATTAAAATATTTACAATGAATAACTTGAAACGTACAAATTCATGGAAACAAACGGTTTAATTTGCATTATCGATATAAAAAAAAAACAAAACAATAATCATAAAATGACCCCAATTTAACGTTTGATTAGAACACAACCGAAATGGTATGCGATAGTCACAATTTATGGCTTCTGATAAAATTCTAGTTGACTTTAAGAAAAGCGGTTTGACGTTAATTTAAAATGCGCAACGAATGGAACCTTTTCAAGAGAGGAACCTTTCTCAAAATTCGAAACTTTTCAGAGATCAAACACATTTTATGTAATCAAAAAACTCACCCGACTAGAACAAACTTGATTTTCAACATTTTTTTCGAATCAAAAATAAAAAAATCGAAGAAAGGAAATGCATATTTCACTATTTTTTTCTGCATTTTGTTGTCGAATTTAAATGGAACGAATTTCTAAAATAAAAATTCAAGTGAATTTATCGGTATATAACTTACTTATTCACACCAAAATAAAGATAATGTGTTAAATATCGTTGAGCTCACAAACGTAACTGAGTTCATGTGACGAAGAATCGGCCGCGTATGATTTTGCACCGTGTGTTTGTCTGTGTGTGATCAGCAAAACTTTAATTTTTGAATTCTATGCTAATTGATCGAATAAATAGCGAACAAAAAAATAAATAAATACTTAAACGTTTTGATATCGTGTCGATAAATATCAAATTGAACGAAAGATCCAACGAAAGAGTGTTCTCTGCGTTGGATGAAAAACAAAACAAATACAATCGTGTATTGCGATTTGAAGTGAAGCCACCAACTAACTGAATGAAAGCGAATGTTATTCTAATACGCGGCGACTATGCGATAAATTATTAATTGAATTGTAAAAACAAAAACGAAGAAGTAAGCAACAAATATATCGCATATGTGTATGTGCAATCAAAGAAAAGTAGGAAAAGGGGACAGTCACATTTTGTAATTAAGTCGGTAGGAGAGACAATTAACAATGTTGAAATATTTGTCAAGCTTATTTGCGATGCACAACCGAAAATTATCATGAAAACTGCGAGAGTAAAAGAGAGAGAGGGAGATTGAGAGAGAAAAGGTTCCAATTTTTATAATTCCAAAGTGAAGTTAATCAAAGAATGATGCAGGTAGAGAAACTGACAAAGTCAACGGCATAGTTTAGCTAATACACAAAAAAAAACTTGTGCAAAATAACAACAACAACGACCACAACGAACAAAAAAAAAACGATATTAATTGCATTTTATTGGGTGTATTAATCACGGGCATTGTGTGTTATTGAGCTATCGTTGAGTGCATTGAATGTGAGTTAAATAACTTGAGCGCAAACAAAGAAATCGAATCAATTTGTTTGCAATGATCAACATTCACACATATTTAAATTAAAATTGCACATTTTTGGCACGTGAACACCGGCCATTTGTCATAATTTCAAATCAATTTATGTTCACACATATTCGAATTCAGAACGAGATAGAGAGAGAAGGGGAGAAAGAGAGCCGAAAGAAAGGGAGGAGCCGGCATCATTTAAATTGGAATGAATTATCCTTGAGACACATCGATGAACTCACAACGAAAATGTTCAAATTGGTGACGTGATTTCATATTTTTCTTAGTCACTTTTCTCTGTACGCTCATATTTCTTTTTTTCTATTTATCTCTTTTTACAGTTTTTCTCTTTCTTTTTTATCTTTTCGTTTTTTATCAAAATCAAATTGTGTGATCATTTGTTCCGGTCGTTTGAAGACATTTTGGAAATGAGATTCATAAAAATATAAATCTTTGCAAAAAACTAAGAAACAATGTCTGTTTATTCTAAGTACAGCGGGTTTTCCGAACTATTCATGCCATTTATGGACATCTTTATATATTTTTTGAATATTTTGAAGTTTTTTTTTACTCACAATCACCAAATGTCGAAAATTTTCACTGAATTTGTTGTTTTTCACTTTATTGATTTCTAACGACAAAATTTGTAGAAGTAAAAAAGTACTATTATCTTTCGTATCTTATCTCTAAACTGTGCAAAAAATCAGAAAAAGAAACACTCATTCGCAATTCTTATCAATTTTGGCGATTTCTGTGTTTTTGATAAAAAAGTGGCAGTCTTTTGCGAAATTTTGGCATGTCACTATCAGTGACCGGTTCGCGCATATTCCTATGCTTGCCTAAATACGCTAGGTAGCATAGATATGCCAAGCATAGCCGCAAACGCAACCGACGCATCGCCGTTCTCTCTATATGAACAATACACATGTTCGTTTATGCAGACGACCGTGCGCATACAATATAGCTCGAATCGAATGGCGACGGGTGCGTTGCGGCTTGCATCTCCGCTATGCTTAGCATAGCTATCAGGCATAGAAATATGCGCGAACCGGTCACTGGTCACTATACAATTCCATCAGTTAACATCTCTTATCATAAAGAAATCGAATATAATCAAATTTGACATTTTATAATTCAAATTGGTTTGGCCAATCAGCGATTCCAAAGAAAAACTCATTCTACATTCAATGTTAGGCAAAGCTGTTATAAATGGGAGGAAATAACAGCAAATTTTAAAATTGGCGCGCTGTTTAGTTTCAATTTGAGTTGTTAAATTACATTGACGTCCCCTTTGAAATTCGGGGCGCCACCGTCGGCTCAAAGAGACTTGAAGTCTTCACATCCTCTCATTGCTGTTATAGGTACCGTGGACACCTATCTTGTAAGTGCTGCTCTTTCTGGTATTCATGTGCGGCACCCGGCACTTGAAAAATTATATGGAATAATTGTGAGCTTTCACTAGTTCTCACCCATCTCCGGTGCCAATCAACAGCTCTGGTATTCGAAGAATAAACGTTTTTGGAATTTCCTTTGAAATTTAGAGTCTAGTTTTTGGTTAAATGATTATTTTAGTTTTTAATCGAAAATTTATTTTATAAGAATCCTTATCAGTAGCTTGTCGGAAGTAACTAAATAAATCAAAGAAAAACTACAACTAACTACACAATGTATCGAAAAATTTGCCCAAGATTAGATCAAAGCCCAAGCATTTAAGAATTCACGCGAAAAGTCCGAATGCATTAGTCGTATTATATATGTTTATTGGCTAAAATCGAATTAGCTACTATTATGAGCACATTTTGAATACACCAAAAAGAAGAAGAAAAAAAAATCGAGTGGGTGAGTGTGAAGCGATTGTTAGCAAAACCATTAATCGAGATGGTTGTAAGTTACTCGGCTACGATATCCTTTTTACGATATGATTTTTATTGATTCGTTTTAGAAATGTCACCAGAATTGTAGAACGTTCTTGGTTTTCAAGAGATGAGAATTTCTACGAGAAAGCAACAAATGTTCAACAGATGCATGTACCTTATCATGGATGGTGTTTGTGGTACTGCAATAAACGTGTTATTCAACGTGATCGAAATGTATTTCTGTATATGTCTCGACAACAGTTATCTCCATTTGGTTAATTGTCTTGTATGTGTGTGTTTGTGTGTGTGCATGTGTTTGTATATGTGTTGAAAGGGTATGTGAATTTTTATGAAAATAAATGTGTATGGCACCAAAACAAAAACCAAGCTCTCACTTGAAGTTAGAAAAGTATGTCTATGTACACAATCAGATCAGACACAAAGCGCAAAATGGTTGTTGCGTGCTGTTCGATCAGGTTTATTTTTTTGGTCAGTAAAGATTGTTTTTGTTTGTTTGTTTGTGTGTTTTGGATGAATTGCCATTTCCTACCGTATGCGAAGTTGAAAATCGTCTTAGTCCCGAGTAAAGTTGTGAGAATCGTCTTTGTGTGCTGGTAATTAGGTCGACCGGTTCATTAATATCGGTGACAACAACGGATGGTATGGTATAATTTGGATCATGCGTTGTCGTTCCACATTTGTTACGTTTATTCGTATTTGGCGGTGACGATAGTGATATGTCCAATGAGCTTGTATTTGTATCACTTGCTTCTTCCTCATCCTCCTCCATTTCTTCGTCTTCTTCAATAAATACAGCGTTCTCTTCAATCGTCGCTCGACTCGGTCCATTCAATGTATTCAATTGATGAATAATCAATTTCTGTGCAATAGAAACGTTTTTACATGGCGTTGATTTTACGGTACGTGGATGCGAATGATTATTGTGATGGTACACATTGTTTGCACTGTTAATTGAAACTAATTGTTCGGGTCGTGCAACATTTCTGGTCATATGCAAATCACGGACAAGTGCTTTTATATGTTTATAATTTTGAGAGTCTTCCTGCGTACTGTTTGGCATCATGGTACACACTACCACGCATCAGATTTGTGATTTTTTCTTTCTATATAGGATATATTTGTTTGAAGTTTTGTGCTTAAACCGTTGTGTGGGTGTGAATTTTTGTGCAGTGAAACGTTCAGTCTATTTTTTTAATGGTGATATTAACGGTGGTGTGTCATATGTTGGGACCATTTTTATCATGAAGGAACGGATGATCATAGATAATCATTTATGCGTTATCTAACAAATAAATAATAATTGCAAACGGATTCCACTCTTTTTTTATCGATTTTTTTTTTTTGGTTTTGCTCTGAAATGCAATTGATTATTAAAGGGGAGGGCTTGGAAAAAATTTACAATTCTTCTACCAACGATGACAATCATGAGAAGAAGAACCAAAAATATTTGCCTCAAAACACAAAATCTCCTATTCTCACTGGGATTTTCAACAAAAAACTTTTTTTTTATATTTAAAGAAAACAACTTAAGAAACCTATAAAAAATTAATAAAATAAAACTTACACAAACGAATTCAAATGATTTTTATTTTGGTTTATATGTACTGAACACTGATGAGAGAGCAGCTCTTCCATATATGCTTACCTGAAATGTAAAATAAAAAAGAAACAGAGATAAGCGATTTATTTTACAACACGTCTATTAATAATAAAGACAAATTTCGTCTTAAATTTGTGTGATTGCATTATACTCGGAATATTTTCATTATCTCAATGGGATAAACAAAACTACAAAGTTCCGCACAATATGGTACGTTTAATTAGGGAAACAAATGATACAAATTTCAATGTCAAATGTGGTTTAAAAATTATTGCATCATATCCAAGTTTGGATGTATCAAAAATGGAAAAAGGAACAACGAATTTTTTTTTTAAATAGTAGATCGTTATTTTAATAATTTTTCAAAACTTGTTAAATCTTCATAACTTTTTGCGAGGGGTCCTTCTCTATTTATCTCTCCAAAATTTGTTCAAAACGTTTAAAATTACTTCCTTCTTGAAGCAACCTTCAGAAGCTATGCATATCTTTCAAAAAATCGACAATTTACGACCCAAAGCTATTACATATCACCCCCATAAAACTGTCATATTGCAATGAAACCAATTGAATTGCCATTGACATCATCGTTTTTTGTTTTGTTTTGTTTTGTTTTTCAAATAGAGTACTGTGACGTGAATTGTTTAAATGATAAATTGCAAAAAATGCCACACTTTCAAATGTGTTTAAACGTTTCTTATCGTTGACATGTCATTCTCAACGAAAATGCGCCTCTAATCAGTTATTTTACGACAAAATCAATATAAAATGCTTATGTCTTGTCACGAAGTCTTTCTATTTCAAACGAAACATCAAATATAATCACAAAAGTGCATGTGTGAATGTTACAAACACAAACAACATTGTGATTTTTCATTGATTTTGATGAAAATTGTGTACGCTTGGCTATAATCTCAATTAAAAATGAAATCAACACACGAATTGAATGAAAATTAATTGAACTTCAATTTGTCCACACTATTCAAGATCAACTAAATCTGATTGCGATCGCGTATACACATTAAATCAATCGGTTAGTTGAAAATTTCCATCAAGCATTCGTGCACTGTACACAAGCGACAATCGCTTTTATAAGAATTGATTTTCTTTTCTTTCGTTTCAACACTTGACTGATTTTGTGTCAAAAAAAAATAAATTGTGTGTTCGATTGTTACCTGATTGCTGGTGTTTGAGGTGGTTTGTTTAACTTTGGTTTTGAACATGTTTCCAGAGTCTTGTATCGAGAAATGTTCGTGCTGGATGGTGTGATCAGACTATGGGATTGAGCTACTTGGCTGAGTGTTTAGTTTTAAATACTTCGGGCGCCAAGCACACACACTCACACACACAAGCGCACACACGTGAAACTAAAGTCGATAAACGGAATCACTAGCAAAGATATACGTGTGGTGCGCAGCACTTTTTGCACCGATTTCTTTTCGTTTGATATCAATTTAATTAACACTATTTAAACATATTTTTTTTCTCCGCAAAACTGAATTTGTTTGTTTTTAAATTAAGTGCTATCTGAAACGGATTCCAAGAGATTATCGATTTTCCTTGCTCTAGAAAAGCAATTTGTGTGGATTTTCCGATCAAAAAAAAAAAAAGAGAAAGAGAAAAAAGTCAAGGGCAGCAAGTATGCGATGTGATTTCTTTGAATCTATTGAAGATCGTATTGTTGAATATTCAATGTAAGCGATAAGAAAATCGTGAGTAAAACACAACCATGAAGCACGTGAAAAATCCGCGTCTACAACAGAGAGGTCAAATTGTTTATGCAAGGAAATGGTGCTGTTTAACTTTTTGTTTTCAGCAAATATAATGTGCAAATGTGGACCAAAAAAACTAAATCACCGTGTCAAATCGTATAAAAAAAACTGAAGATGGTGCCGACGACTTGACTGTGTTTCATTAACTAACTGATTCATTTGTCATACTTTTTTCGAATCGTGTTTAAATGTATAAATAAAATGACATGCCAATTGATGTGCTCTTAAAATGGGGGGAAAACAATAAAGTGGCATATATACACATATGCCATAACTACAAATCAGTCACATTCGGCGTAATAAAAATGATTGTAGGCGAAGGGAGCATGCGATCTTAAGCAAAATGAATAATTACATGTAGACATAACAAAACGATCGTTTCGTCCAAACAATCAATTGTTATATCATATGATGTTCATTCGTTCGCTCTTTTGTTTTATATGAGCAATTAGCTTCGACAATTCCATGAATGCGCATCATACAATCAATATTTATTTGTGACAATATTGTTTGAGAATTAAGCACGCTTTTGTTTAGATACGCAATCTTTTCTTTCTTTCTTTTCTTTATCATTCAAACCGTTTTCCGTGTTGCTTCTCGCTTTTGCTTGCGCTCTACATATCATATAAACATACACACAATTTAATTGGTCAGCAATGGTAATGCCGTATCTGTAGCAACTGTTCAATGTATAGTTTTTTTTTCTTTTCATATACGCGCTACTACATCAAATTCTAGTTTCGAGAGTAAACAAGTTTTATCATATTGAAAATGCCATTGAATTTTTGTGTTTCAATTCGCAGATATTTTAAATTTTATTTTGGTTTTAAACATAATTGATTTTAGACACTTTGCTTTCAACTCTTAAGACGAAGTAGTACTGTTCGACGTTCTTTTTTCGTCATCTTACCTGTGATGAATTTGATCGACGCAATGAATTTCTCAACATATTGAAATAATTTGGCAAAAAACTGCCATAACTACGAAACGATCGACGTGTTTGTGTTGAACTTGATGAGCTTGAATTTGTGCTAATGCTATCACAACTTGGTGTACGATCACGAATGCCCGACGATGTCGATGCTTGATTCAATGGTAATCGTTCGGGATCTTCTGGATCGTGACGATTTCGGGCGACATTACGCATTTTAAACATTCGACGCACTCGTTGCATTCTTTTCAATTTCATTTCATTCAATTCAATTTGAAGATAAATTTGTTTTGATTGACGGACACTTTCAAAGAAAAAAAAATGTTCGAAACTCCTTTTTTTGTTATTTAGTTTGAATCAAATGATTCTCTGATATATTTTTTTTTGTGTGTGTGCTTTTGTTTTTTATTGTGACCACAAACGTCAAGCCGTGGTGAAACCTTTTGTTGCCGACCGAGATATACCATCCATTTTCAGGGCTAATTCTTTGAATTTATCACCACAACCGTGTGTTGTGGTCTTTGTGACAACGTAAGAGAGTGAGAACAAAACAAATTAGCAATGGAAAAACAAATACTAGATTTAAAACAGTTCGATAAAGTACGATTTTCATTGTAACCAAAAAAAACTGAAATCAAAAGAATTATTCCGATAGATAGGCGGAAATATTTTGCAAACAGATTGAGGTAGTGATTCAATATCGAATCGAATTTTGTTTATTTTTATTTTGCGCTTCGGCCGGACATTTGCTTGGAAAATTTATAGAGGTTTTCTTTCATTTCTTTCCCAACTTGTTGTTTATAAACAAATTTATTTTTGAACATCTTTGATAATTGAATATAATAAACTCATTATATGACCATACTTGAACTCGGATGAAAGAAGATCTTGACAGAAATTGTAGATTATCAATGATGTAGTAAAAAAGAGACGATATTTAATTGAAAAAAAAAGGAATCAATTAAAAGAGTCAACGTTCAAACTGTTGTCATCGTTGCCCGATCAAATAGTCCGGCATTATTTACAAGCGCAATAGCAATTCGGTCTCAATTTCAAGTGCTTGCATAACGCGATAAAAACAAACTAAATAAATGATATTTTAGTGTGTCGTCTTTCTACGAATATATACGTGGGAAAAGTCAAGAGCCAGAAATCAAACGGCGTCACACTTATGAGTTTAAAACAAAAAGAAAATATATATGTGTGACTTCACATAGAACCAATTTTACTCGTTCGTTTGAAACTGGACGACACAATGACTTCGCTTATGCGTTCGCACAATTTATTTAAGAGAAAAAGACAATTTCGATGACATTTGTGTGTTTAAATCATGCACAATCATCACACACTGTCGCCATTTTGAATTTCCACTTGTGGTTATTTTCCGAAGTGTTGATTTGAAATGTCAAAGAATGAAATAAGATTTATTTTGTTATTTTTTGTTTTGACATATCGATACAGCAAATGTGGCTATACTTAGAAATCGTCAATCTAATCGAGAACGTTTGTCTATTTTGTTTGTTTAATTGGTTAATAATACACACAACGAAAATAAATCGAACTGTAACAAAAAAAAAACATTTTAAATGGGGAATATCTCTTGCCAATATTACATACGGGCCAAATATCAGCTCAATACAGAATCACTAATCAAATAAATTCGTTTGTGAGTCATTTTGATCGGATCATTGATGCATTTTTGAGGGCATCTTTGCATCCACGTTTTCAACTTAGACACACAAATGACGCACTCACTCACACACTTCACGTTTTAAATAAATAATAAGAAAACACAATGGGCTCCCGACAAACTTTACACATAAAAAAAAAAACAAAGAGAATAACAAACGATTTTAAATTTCACTCGACACACACGATTCAAGAATATTCAGAATCAGAAGATAATTTGATCTTTGTTTAAAATTTCAAAAATTCAAAACGATTCAATTCGGACAAAGAACAAAGTGGATTGAGTGATGTAAACTGACTAATCAATTGATTTTCCAATTGAACACCGATAACTGAATGCTTAGTGCCAAGACACACAAAAATTATATATATATTAATTGAAATGACAACAATCTCAAGAAGACACCGAGTGAAAAGACACCGAACGAAAAAAAAGAAAATAAATAAATAATATGCTACACTTATCGCATTGTGTTTGATCGAGTCGAACCAATACAGACATGACGATGGGACAGAGACAACAAAAAAACCATCGAAGAGTACAACACATTCGTCCAGTTTGGTAAAATGCATATCAAATGCGAAGATAGCAGACAACACCCAATGTCACATTGATTTCGAGAGATTAATAGTGAGACAAAGAGAGAGAGAGAGTGATAGAGGGGGGAGGGGTGTTGTAAAAAGGGAGAGATATTGAGAAAGAGATACATGGAAGACACCACAAACAATATGCAAAAAATTAATTGTGTGCCAAAGTGAAGTGTCAACAATTTGCGGCTTTTAAGGTAGTCATTCGTTGTCATTCAATTGTGTTGTGTTTCACGACAGATTGCTTTTGTACAGCAAAAAAAAATGTTTAAAAACACAGTTAAAAAAATCACATTCTATTGTCGTGTCAATGTGTTGAAACCGTTTTATCACCAAATATTACCAGATAAGATAGTGATCTGATCACGCACACACATACAGATAAACGCACACATTCGCTTCAAATTGAACAATTATTGTCGCTTTGTTTTGTCTGCTTAACATGAATTGAAGGCTGTCAACACAACTTTTTTTTGCTTCAAAAATAAATCCTCATCCTTCTTGCAGAAAAGGTTAACATTTTCTAATTTCGAAGAATCTATACTCTATATACGACATTCTTTATGTTAAACGGCATCTTTCGACGCAATGTAATTAAAATGGCCAAAATAGTGAATTCCTTTTTGTTAAAAATAAAAATAATTGGCCAACACTTACGTATCAAAGGTCGTAATTTTTCGTAATTTGTCGGAATAAATTGAAAAATTTATTTTGATTAACAATTCGTTTGAATTTAAAATTGAAAAATAAACTGAACGCTTGACAGAGTGTAAAACTGACTGGTTCAGATTTCGCTATGAAAACAACCGTTAAATGAACAAAAATGAATGCGAGTGTAAAATTGTCTGTGTGAGAAATAAGCAGCAAAAAAATGGTGTCTATTTTTAGGCGTAATGAATCATTTTGCATGCAGCCGATACCGCATTCTGGCATTAATTCATATTTCCAATTGAAGCTATGGATTTGAATACCATGCGGTGAGTTGCCACATAAACAACGATAGAATGAACATGTGCCATTGGCACACGTGACAGAAACCTTCTAGTAGTAATATAAAACAATGTAATACTTTCCAACCCACCTAGAAACGATTGTAAAAACACTGAAAATATCATCAATAATCAGATGGATGTGTGTGTGTGTGCTTTTGTTGATAAGAATGACCCTGAACACGGTAGTCTTCAGCGAAAAAGTGCGATTTTCTTCGATTAATTTATGATTTTATGACATGCGACCGACTTCGTCAAATTACGGCAATTTGTAAACAGAACATGGATACACTTCACCGATTTGCTCGCGATTTTCATGCAAATTTCGACATTGGAGTCTCTTTCACCATCAATCACTGACATTTTCAATCAACAAAATTGGCATTTTGACATGTTCGTACACAGTTTTTCTCACTAAATCAATACCAGTCACAAAGTAAACCGCACTGTGATCTCACATACATATAGATTGATGACTCTGATGGAGTATCACATATTAGATTGGTGTGAACAGTATCGGTTTCAAAAATGCATAGTTTATCCGATTTGTCTTAGTAAGAAAATTATTGAAGTAGAAGCAAATTTTGAAATTCTACGAAAAAACATTGATTATACTCGCTCACAATCGAATTTGCGATCAATTTAGAGTGTACACTCAATTTGCACACACTGCACATTTAACGCAAATTCATCGTCGATCAATAAACCGAAAGCGCATGCAAATCAACACACTCATGTTATCGCTCTATAATTTGTTGACACTGCTTGTAATTAAAGTATCGACAGTAAAAATGATGTCGAATGGGTCTGGTTTATCATTTTAATTTATAAAATAAAAAATATTGATTAACTTACCCGAATTTAGTGTTTCGATGGGAATACTGTTACTGTGAAATCGTTTGTTGTTTTTTTCAAGTGAATTTTTTTTTCTGTTTTGTTCGCCGATTGAACAAAAATGTACGATAAGTACTCTTGTTGTTTGAGAAGGACTCGGCAAAAATGCTCACATGTATAACATATACACGCACCATGAAAAATAATCCAATGACGTTAAAACCCAAAATCAGATTGGGTATTTTGATTATTGTCAATTTTTTTTACTTCTTCTTCTTCTTCGTTTTAATTCGGCGGAAACACTCACTTAAAATATATGTATACGTGTTACACCACAATTATGTCGATTTATTCGTAAAAATGTTATTTTTGTTTTTGTGCCTTTTGGCTCTTTGTTGTATTGGATGATTTTTTGTAATTTATCGTCTCATACACACACACACACATACATACGATAATGAGAGAGACGAACAACAACAATAACAACAGGATTTTTCGGTCTGTGATAAAAATGTTTATGAATTAGAGTAAAACGATTACACGCACATCTATTGTTTTTTAACAAACGGCCGACGTATTCACATACACACTTAAACTTATGCACAAAACACAGCTAGTTAAAACGGTTTTTTGTTTATGTTCCTTCACGTCTTTTACAGCTCACCTTTCTTTGTTTTCGAATTTTATCTAGTTCTGGTTGAAAACCCATTGAAATAACATCCAAATTCCATGCAGATTAGATTGGTTGCTCGTCCTCTCTCTCTCTCTCTCTCTCTCTCATACGTTTTTATCACATTTGGCTTTGTTCCGTGTGTCTGTGTATGATCGTCACGTAAACAATTTATTGTGTCTATCTAATATGTCGATTGAATTATTGTATTGGTATCAAAAAAATGGTCACGCATTTTTTAAAAAAGGGGGTCCGAATCCATTTTTTCGGTCTAAATAGGTGAATGTCACTTGGCAACACGCATCTGTAATTTGTAAAAAGAGCATTAGAAAAAAGTTTTTGGATAAATAAAAACAAATAAAACACTTTCACATCTCTAGTTAATAAGCTAATTGCTAATGCTGAGCACACGCCACTGAAATTATCGATTCATATCCTTGAAAACAAAAACAAAAAACCACCAACCGAACTGAAAACTTACAAATCGAAATGAGGCGAAGCAATTAAAAACAAAATATACATACTGAAAGTAATCATTAAATGCTTGTGCAAAATGTGAGTGGGAAAAGGTTTGACATAATTTTTTTTAGAAATTATTTCGTATGACATGTAGTGTTTGTATCTCATTCATATAATATGAGCATAAATTCATAGTATGAAGTTTTAATGATTCATGAATATCAACATTGTCGCCGACACACATGCACACAGGTACACAAACAGCTGGGCGACCGAACCAAGAAAAATTGTTGTACTTTTCACAATTGAGTCACTGGTTGATATCAATACACATTTCGGAATGCATGCACTAGCACGAACATTTTAATTGAACATTGTACATGTATGACACGGTGTTTCCTAATTTTTCGGTCGTTTTTTTTTTCTCTCTCTCTCTCTCTCTCTATTGCAAAAGTACTGAAAGAACTGCTGGCTATAAATAGCCGCTCCGTTAGAAGCATTTAACTGACAACTTTGTCGCACAATGTGAATAAAGCAATCGAAGTAAAAAAAAGCGCAGAAACGAAAAAAAAATCACCGAAAGTTTTTGTTCGATTCTGATGAAATGGAGTCGCATTAAGTTGTCAATGCAAATTGCTTTCGATCGATACCGGATTCGCATTTTTAAAGATTTGTTTTCAGTGTATGTGTCACCAAACAGCAATTGCCAAACAGAAATCGTGTGAGCAAATCGAAAAATTCTAACTAAAATGTGGTACAATTCATCGGACTACATTGGTTTCTTTATTTTTTCCTTTGGAAAAAGGTCACTTTCGTTCAAAACACGAAACAAAATAGAACCAAATTAATATTGCGCTACACCAATCGGGTTCGTCGTAACAAAAACAAAAATGTTCTATTCTCTTTGGTGATTTTCTTTCACATTGCAATGTACAACTGTTCGATGCTGAAGTTCATTTCCTTTGTCGATAAAAAAGTGCACACACATATCAAGAATATCTGAATTTAGGAGTGTGTGTGTGCCTCTGCCTGTTTGCACTGGCTTGACATCTGTTTCATAAAACAATAGAAGTGAATGAAAGTCATTAAATTACGGTATTACGTACGAAATAAACCAACAACAACAATTCACATATACACCGAAAAAAAATTGCACAAGAGTGAAAGCCAAGTGACATTAAAAACCAACTAGAAAACTTCAATCGAACGAACTTGTGTGTTTTGTGGAAAATGTTACTGCAAAACCATAAATCAATTTGAAATTTTGAAAAAGGAAACGCAAAAATTACGGCACACCGAAAATCACATCAAACACAAAAAAAAACCGAAATGATTGTCGACAACAACCAAAAAAATAAAATCGACACCACACAATATCAGCGATTCATATGTGAGAAATAGAATTTTCAATTCGAGTGCTGCCAATGTGCGCGATTCATTTTTGTTTTCGTTTTTGTATGCTCGCTCTTAGTCTCTCTCTCTTTCTTTTCTCATATCATCCTTGCTCCTTTGCGCTCCTCAATCAATGCGCATTACACATCTCTTTCTGCACGTGTAATACATTCATTTTTACAAACGTGCTGGTATCATCTATGTGTGTAGATTTCCCACTGGCTGCCTCAAAACAGCTGTCATTCGCATGACAAAATGTTTCACATGAAGTTGGCCGTCACATTAATGAAATACACACACACAGGCGCATACATGTACACAGGCATACGGTTATGGGTAGGTTTGTCTCTCTTTCCCCATTACATTTTATTCATTTGTCGCATTTTCGTACATAACATCACATTCAACGGTTTTGTTTAACTTTGCGTCGGCATTAACAATTTATACCACTGTCAGTGTATGTTTTTGCCGTGTTTAATTTTCGATTCAAAACACAAAAGTGGCTTTTAAGCGCCAATTCATTCACACCATTTATTTATCAGTGTATCAGTTTGTTTTGCTGCTGTCAACGACAGAAATTTTTGTGAATATGAACAGAGAGTGTGTGTGAGAGAGAACAGAAAAAATACATAATAATTTTTTTACACAAGAATTCATCGAAAACAATTTTACATTGAACGAAAAAAAAAGAACAAGAAATTTAGTTAATCATTTTTAAAAAATTTAGTCAATTAAATTAAAAACCACAAACATTGTATGCAATTTCATCTCATTAGCTTGGTATTTTTCATGCCAAACAAATAGTGTGATCGTAATGCGGTAAATTTGTTTTTGTTATTGTTGTTGGTAACAAAAGACAGACACATTGATCAAATGATTCGAAACCAAACCACAAATTTTCAACATGAAAACCGACAGCGATTCCAATAATTCGGCAATATTTTCATTGCGAATTGTATCGATTGATAATTATATGAAGGCACCGTTATTTGGATTAGACACATGCAATTCGGAGTTTCGGGCCGATGAAGTAAAACAAGTAGGTTACGCTGATTGATTTTTTTCAAATTTTTTTTTTTTTTTTCGAAATTAAAATAACATTTAAAAAAAATACCAATTTTTGTACGTAGGTGCCGGTCATTCGAATATTTGGAACCGATTCGAATGGTACAAAAACATGCGCTCATATTCATGGTGTATTTCCATATTTGTATGTACCGTATGCCGGTGGCGATGCGGTCGGTGAGTCAGATCGTTTGGCATACCAATTGGCATCGAGTCTGGACAAAGCCATCAACATTTCAATGGGACAAACAAATTCAAATACACAGCATGTCTTTAAAGTTATTTTGGTGAAAGCAAAGTAAGTATAATCAAATTCCATTGTATCCATTCTGTGTGTTTCTCACTAAAAAAATTATCTACTTCTTTTTCCCCTCTTTCGTAAAATGCAGACCGTTTTATGGCTATCATAAAACTGAACATAAATTCTTAAAGATATTCCTTTACAATCCTGTATTTATTCGACGTGCAGCTAACTTACTACAAAATGGTGCAATTCTCAGTCGAGTGTTTCAGCCCCATGAGTCACATGTACCGTACATCTTACAATTTATGATCGATTATAATTTATATGGCATGAGCTTTATGCATATACCAAATAAGTTGGTGCGATATCGTCAACAGGCCCATACAGGCAATTGTGAATTTGATTTGAGTGACGATAGTGAATTGAATGACGAGATTTTGCGAAATATTGATCCAAATCAGATTTTAGATCGAAAAATTGAACGAATGTCTACCTCAAAACAAGAAATCGATTTAAGTGCGGCCGTTATACTTAATCGATTACAAATTTCAATGAACGATGAAGATAATGAACATGCTAATCCGGGCATCGCGTTTTTGTGGAGCGATGAACGGGGACGTAGAAACAAAATGGATGGCACGGTGAGTTATTATATACTGTGAATAGTGAACTATATTGCAAAATCATCTGTAATATGTGCATAACTGCATATATTTCGTGTATATTTCGTCTATGGCATGTTTTTTCATTCTCTTTTGTGCGGATCTTCTTCGATTCTGTGTGATGAATAGAACGCGAATATTGTGTATAAATTTGTATGAACGAATAGATAAAAGCCCCTAGACAACATTGCTTACTAACGCCACCAAATAACGTCATATAATTCTATATAGTTCTGCGGTTGCCAGCGGTACTAATCTCTAATAAAGCGTTGCCGAGCTGTCATTATTTCCATGCCCTGAAAAAAATCTCGAACAAAAAATATTTGTTTTTTTTTTTTAATTAATTTTTAAAATTAATTTCGTAGCCACCGTCAATGGTGCCAACACCGGAGGCAACTCAGGATCGTGACATCTTAACATCGGTTGAAAGTGAGTTATTCCATCAAGCGGCGCTAAATCGACGACTGGAACAATTTCGTGCCGAAAGTCCGTCCACACAATCATCGGATAGTTTGCTTGAACAAACCATGAATCGAAGCAATGCCAATCGAAAATTTGATTTAAATCAATTTTTACAAAATTCAGTCTATCCAGCCGAATGGACGTCGAACCAAAGCCAATTGAATGATAAATTTATTTTGGATGCATCATTTCTCGTTGATCATTTAAAAGTCATAAAAACGACACCAGCCAATTCGACTGAAACACAATCGTTCGACACAAATAGCCAACAATGGGATAATGTGCAATTCGATCCAAACGAAACGTTTGTCGATGAAGAGCTCGTTTTAAGTTTAACACAAAAATTATCGAATCAAACGCTGCTCAATGAAACATTGAATGAAAATGAAAATGAAGTTTTGGATATATTTGAACTGATGGAACAAGATGAAACACATGATGTCACATTACGCATTGATGATGATAGTGTGTTGGCTCCGCTAAGTCAAAAAGAATTGACACACTTCAGTCAACCAAAGAATAAAAATGACAAGAACGATCACATCGCATTATTCGAAGACGAAGATTCCGATGATGATCTACTAAATGAATTTTCCATGAGCATACTAGAACGGTAAGATAATATCAACAACAATTGTCAACTTGTTTTGCTTTTGAAAATCTAACCTTAAATTATGTATATTTTCTATATCGTTCAGAGCCGAATTGAAAATTCCGCAATTGGATGGCGCTTTTGATAGTCCGAAGAAGCAACAAAGTGCATTCAAAAAAGGTGCAATGAAATCAAATGCGCAATCACCATCACGAAGTGCAAAAAAATACACACCACTCGACATTGTCATATCAAAAACACCAAAGTCACTAAAACCCACCGATCTGTTAATGTATGTATACCAAATATCATTTTATTTTCAGTTTGGTTAAATGAATTCGAAGAATAATCGAATTGACATGATACGATTCTATTTGCAGACCGAAATTGTGTCTTGAAAGACAAATGATGTTGAAGATTGAAAGATGTGATTCACCCGCATCAAAACTGCCAAAAACGTACACAATTGGTGCAGTAGTAGCTGCATCAAAGGCAAAATCACAAGCAAGACGGGCATCAATGTGTCAAAACACTACAAATGAACAAACAACGTTGAAACAACAGCAACAACCACAATCGCCTCAGCAACAACAACCACAACCACAACCACAGAAGAAACTATTACAAGATCAATGCGACAAGCACAGTCAACAAAAAGAACAAACACAAATACAATGTGATCTGCAACAAAACGATTCGCCGCCATTTTCTGAAATTCCTGAAAAGTATCGAAATATTTTGAACAAATCGCCAGTCGTCAAATTAATCAAATACAACAATATCGAAGAATCGTTCCGAGGAAAAATATCAACAACACCATCACCAACATCATCCACACATTCAAACATGTAAGCTTTTCTTTCTTCCGACATTTTGAACGTTTTTCGTTTCATTTGAAATTCGATACAGTTTTTTTTTTGTTTTAATTGTGAGAAGAATGAACAAATATGACTTGAAGACGAGTATAAATTTTTAATCGAGATAAATATTTTAAAATAAAAAAAAAATAATTCGGTTGTTATTCATTGATATAAAATCAAGTAAAATAAATATGTGTTTATAAAAAACAAGTCATAATCTCTCAGATAGATAGAATGAAAATAACAAAAGAAAAATATGACCAACTCTCTTATAGGCAATCGAAGGATGAAGAGACTGTCTATGACACAAAACAAGATAGAGACACGGCAAAACGAAAGAAATCGACTACTGACGAAGATGATGAGACTATTGAAACAACACCCGAAACACCGCTCCGTCGCCGTTATCCGAAAAGAGCACCAAAGCCGCGACAAGATCTGATTCAAAGAACAAATTTATTATCATTGTCAAACAAAACCAAGCCGAAGAAACCACGAAGACGCGCCAAAGATGATCTCGATGAATTGAATAAAATGGATTTTTGGTATTCATGGTATAAATGGTCGGATTGTAAATTGTCCAAACGCTACGATGAAGAGCGACAATTCTTTCCACAGCCCGGCCCATCCAATTTGAATTACTACGAAGACGATAAAATTCCCGGATACTATCGATCGCCGAAGAAAACAACACCATCCAGCAACAGTAAAGCCAAACTGTTGACACCAAAATCAAATGGAATGAAACGATCACGAACGATCACAAAGACGACGTCACCTCCACAAAAACGGTCATTGCGAAAAACCAAAATGCAAAAACTAAACAATCATTCCAAACGTACAGATTCGCCGAAAGAAGGTGGATCGTCTCCATTGAGTGTGCATTCGGATTGGGAAAATGACATTCACATACAAAGTTTCTATGAGGAATCAATGATGCAATATTCACCGTCACCAACACAAAAATCTAGCGATGACATTGTTTCCCCAAATTCGAATGGTGTGGCACAGGAAAACAGCGAATCACTTGCAAACACAACAATTTCAACACCAACAATGTTAAAATTTATCGAAAATGTGAAAGATTCATCCAGCGAATTGAAAAATCGGCCAAAGCGAAAAATCTGCACCGACACGTGCACCATAAAACCGGCCAACAGTGTACCATGCCCGCGTGAAATATCAAATTCGAATGATGTGCCAAAGTTAATACATAAAGTACCATTCTACAGTGATCCGAATGATGTGAAGGCGCACAATTCGAAGAAGGAAATCGGCAATACCGTTTTACAATTAAACGGATACTCTGTAAACGATTTCGAACCATTCAAGTCCGAACAGAATGTCATCGGCATGAATAGGTGGCAGCGTTTAATCGGTTTTCAAGCCATGCAAAGTTCGCGACGTCGTCGCGATCCCAAAGCATTGACCGATGAACATTCGATGCGACAATTTTTGGCACAAGAGAAATCAGTACAAATAATGACACACAACCGTCCACCATCAAATGACGATGTTGACAAATGGCTTAATACACGGAATCAAGTGAACAACAAGAAGCGAAAATTGGCGCCGATTGTAATCGATCTCGATGGTGATGATGATTATGACGACGACAACGACATCCATGAAAATCCGGAGAAAATTGACGGAGAAAAAACCAGCAAGCTCAAAGAAAATAAAAAAAGTGTTGCCGAATCATCGCCAAAGACGCAAAGCTCTGCAATCATTCGAAAACTTCGTTCGCGTAAAGATATAACCGTATCGGTCGTATCAAAACGCAATCAACGAACCATTTTGAAATCACAATCGGACGATAAAAACATTGTGCAAATTGATGATGATGATGACGATAACGATGTGGTTTGCATAGATGATGTACAAACCACATCCACAATCAAGCAATACAATCAAAATTCATTTAGAAAATTGGTACGTTTAGCACAATGATTCCGATTTTGCGGAGCAAAACAAATTATCAAATTGATTTTCATAGATTCTATTTTTTGTTGCCAAAAAAAGAGGAAAAACAATTATTGATTAAAGAACAATAAAATCGATTGTTAAAAAAAAATTGTATATCTTTTTTTTTTTTGGAAAAAAAGAACACCCTTTCGTATTTTTGTTTTTCTTTAGCAAATGGAAATTGATTTCTCTCTCTTCAACAACAAACAAATTCGAAGCCAAGTTTTTCCTTCCATTCCATTCATCTTAACTATCAAATCGCAAAAATTTTGCAAATATTTCGTTTTCCATTTGCAGTCCGATTCTCAGCTTGAAAATTCCAAAATGCGTGCCCATTTAAATTTAGACGATACAATATCCCGTCCAAATTCAACGGAACTGAGTTTCGGCATTGATGGTGGTCCGATGGAAAATTCATTCGGTTTTCGTTTAAATTTGGAAAATTTTCAATGTGCCAAATCAAATATTGAGGTAAGTAATTCATAGGAAATTTCAGTCTGCTTGAATCAAACGTATCATGAAATCAATTTGTTACTTTTAGCACAATTACTTGACGATATTATCACTTGACATACACTGTCAAACGCGATCCACTCTCTTGCCCGACCCCGTTCACGATGAGATTATGTGTATTTTCTATGAGATTCACAATGATGTGCCACCGCCAACGTCAAGTGACAGCGAAGATTCTTTAAGTCAGCAGGCGTCAGGTGTGATTATCAACACAAACAAGCATCCAGATATCAAACGTCATCGAATGGCAACCCAAACCCACGTAATATTGGTGAATACCGAAACGGATCTGTTTATGGAATTGGTACGGCTGATACGAAAATGGGATCCCGACATATTTGCCGGCTATGAAATTGAAATGTCATCATGGGGATATGTTATCCAACGAAGTCAAGCGATCAATGTGGATCTTGTGCCACTTATCTCACGCATTCCATCACAACGCGTTGCCAAATTTCGTCAAACCGACGATGAAAATCCACAACACGATGAGTTTATTGGTTTTGAATATGATTCAGAGTACAAACTCCATGGTCGAATATTATTGGACGTGTGGCGATTGCTAAGAGGTGAAATTGCGCTTACTTCATATTCATTCGAAAATATTATGTACCATGTGATGCATAGACGATGTCCAATGTATTCACATGAGAAATTGACACGACTTTGGAATGAATCGATTCATCGATGGATTGTCGTCGAATACTATTTGAATCGGGTCAAAGGCACTTTGGAAATTTTGAATCAACTGGATTTGATTGGTCGAACTTGTGAATTGGCTAAATTATTTGGTATACAATTTTATGAGGTGCTGTCGAGAGGCTCACAATTTCGTGTTGAAAGCATGATGCTGAGGTAATGACGGGTGTCAATTGGCTGCTTAGTGGATGCCATTAGATATATTTTTTTACTCTTTCTCTCTTACAATATTTTTTTCAGAATAGCGAAACCGCGAAATTTAATACCAGTATCGCCGAGTGTTCAACAACGAGCTCATATGCGTGCACCTGAATGTTTACCGTTGATACTGGAGCCACATTCTCGATTTTATTCCGATCCATTAATTGTATTGGATTTTCAAAGTTTGTATCCCAGCATGATAATCGCCTATAATTACTGCTTTTCAACGTGTCTTGGTCGTGTTGAGCACTTGGGACAGTAAGTACAATCTCATTATTCCTTCCAATATACGGTCATTTCTAACCAAGAATCGATTGAATTTAGATCTCAACCATTTGAAATGGGTGCGTGGCAGTTGCGTGTTCCGCTTCGACTAATTGAAAAACTAAGTGAGAAAAATCTGATCACAATATCACCGTGTGGAGCCGTATTTGTGAAGTCATCAGTTCGTGAAGGTGTTTTACCTCGTATGCTTCGTGAAATTCTCGACACCCGTCTTATGGTCAAACAGTCAATGAAATTACATAAAAATGATAAATTGTTGCAACGAATTTTGCACTCACGTCAATTGGGATTGAAATTGATGGCAAACGTTACATATGGTTATACGGCCGCAAACTTTAGTGGTCGAATGCCGTGTGTTGAAGTGGGTGATAGTGTTGTGAGCAAAGGACGCGAAACACTTGAACGAGCCATCAAAACAGTTGAAGCAAACAAAGAATGGGGATGTCGTGTTATATACGGTGACACGGATTCAATGTTTGTTTTGGTACCGGGTCGAAGTAGAGAAGAAGCATTTCGTATTGGCAATGAAATTGCAGACACCGTTACCAAACAAAATCCATTCCCGGTTCGGCTGAAACTTGAAAAAGTCTATCAACCATCGATTTTACAAACAAAAAAAAGATATGTGGGCTATATGTACGAAACACCAGAACAAAATACTGCGACGTATGAAGCCAAGGGCATTGAAACGGTTCGACGTGACGGATGTCCGGCGGTGGCAAAGGTGAGATAAACATTGCCAATTTGCCATTTTGTTGTGCGTGAAAATGATTTTCTGATTAAATTTTCTTCTGTCCGGTACAGATTCTGGAAAAAACGTTGCGAATTCTCTTTGAAACGTATGATGTAAGCGTGGTAAAGCGATACATCTGCAAGCAATTCACGAAGATTTTATCCGGTCATGCAAATGTTCAAGATCTTATCTTTGCCAAGGAATTTCGTGGTATTAACGGCTATAAACCAGGTGCATGTGTGCCATCACTTGAATTGACCAGGTATGTTTAAAGAAATGCTAGAGACTGTTCAATCCTGCGCAGTACTTTGAACGCGTTTTCTTTTATTTCATTTCTAAATAATTTGTATCTCTTTTACCGAAAAAAACAACAGAACCGCCATGCAAATTGATCGTCGAGCCGAGCCGCGCAGAGGTGAACGAGTTCCGTATCTTGTGATTAATGGTCCGCCCGGTCTTCCATTGATACGTTTAGTTCGAAGTCCACATGAATACCTAACAAATGAAGCGCTTAAAATCAATGCCATGTATTACATCACAAAAGTATTAATTCCGCCATTAAATCGTTGTTTATTGTTAATTGGTGCTGATGCAAATCAATGGTTTGCCGATTTACCACGTAAATCGCAATATATTCTATCATTAGATGTGGCATCGAACATTTTAAGCAATTCAAATAAACAGTGGGGCTCTACGTCAGACAAATCGTTACCGCACATCAGAGGCAAAAAGAGTACCATTTCACAATATTTTTCAACAACAAATTGCGTGTGCGATTGTGGTGAACATACACAGAATGGAATTTGCTCAAAATGTTTGGAACCGCGTCGTGCACAACAAAGTGTTTTAATTCTAACCGATAAGTGTATGCAATTGGAACGCAAAGTTAATTTATGCCTTGAGGTGTGCTCGGCATGTTGTGGCCAATTAGTTGATACCAAGTGCAAGTCACTAGACTGTTCGGTTTTATTTATGTTAAATCGATGGAAACGAGAATCAAAACAGATTCATTTCTATCGACAATTAATTTCAAAACATTTCTAATCATAAAACACTCACCATCACAGTATTATTCAATGAAACTAATTTTTATTACTTACATATTGTTTTTTTTACTTCTTTGTTTTGAGAATTAGATTTTAAGAGGGTTTTTTTCGTTCAAGTTTGTATTTATTTGATGCTTAGAATAAATCAGCGATAAGCATCGTAAATTGTGATAAAGAAAAAGAGCACGAAAAAGTTGAGTTCACCGAAATAAAATTCCATTTACATAAATTATAATAACAAAAATTGTCGTCTTTTAATTTTTATAGATTTCAATGTTATTGCTCTGAGTTGAGAGATGAGATTTAAAAAAAACCAAAAATACTTATCTCGAATACAACATAAAGAAAAAAGACAGTTGGATTTTTCTTTACCTTTTATTTTAGTCAAAGATTATGTGTGATGGTAAAAAAAGTCCCGTCTTGGAGGTAAAAGTACTTGAAGATAAAAAAAAATCCCAGGCATGGTTCCAAAGTACAAAATCCTTTGTACTATTGTAAAGTACCACTTCTTATAACCTTTGCTGTTCATCTCACAGTTTGCACATGTAGTATATGTTTGTTTTTCATTCGGTAATTTTTGTTCCCATAAATGACAATAGTTCAACTATAGAAAAAACTTATGGAATGTCAATACATGCTCTCTTCCATGATGCTTGATTTTTTTCTCTTTCACTGAAGCCATAGATAAAACTGAAAAACGCATGGAAACCCAGGTAAAGTGTGCAACGGTGGCATTGCTTGCCTTGATTACCCCTCTCTATACAGTTCAATTTGATAACAAAGATGATGGTTTTGTTTATTTAAATGAAACCTAATCCAATTACTTTATTTTATGATTAATGACAGCTAATACGAAGTGATAATGAGTTTGTTTATTATTTATGGTTGAGTGTTTTCAGCGTCGGTTTGGATATTTGGCGCGTGCAAATTCTTCAATGCGTTCCAAAAATCTTTCCCTGTGAATTAAAGAAAAACGTAATTCTATAAAAAAATTTGCTCAAAAAAACGTTTCGTTGCGTTGTATACCATGCCGACCATCCTTCGCCACTGACAGGCAATAACGTTTGAATCTCTGACGCAGTAATAACACCGTATCGATGGCCCAATTCAGTTAAGCGCGACAGTATGATTGCCAGTTCGTCTGTTGTAAAACTATACATTTCGCCATGTAGTTGAATGCTTTCATTCTGGATCTGATCTGGAATGCTTGTTTTTCGTCCTTTTCCCATTTCGATTGATCTAAAAAAAAAGACACACACAGTGATATTGTAATAAGATGAATTATTAGATACATTGCAACATGAGAGATTGTTATTGGATGCTCCGACGTCATGTTGAAAAAAGCAGACAAAAAATGAAAACCGTTATCTATATTGATTTCATGGAAATCGGAAACACAAAAGATAGCCGGTTTTTAAGAAATGATGTAACCAATATTGTTTTGCAAACAATTCAAATGCGTACGGCGTCAATGTAAATAAATGACAGCTATTTCGAAATTGTATATATTTTTAATGTTCTATTTAAATTTGCAGATCGTTTCGAATTTATCAACACTAACTTGATCTTTTTTAACCACAAATGAAATATTATCAGTTGCGTTGTTGCACCTTCAATGAAATCCACTTTTCAAATCAAACATTTGCATCGATGCACTAAACAAAAATTCAAAATTGAACGTTTCTGTACACCAAACACACATTTTGGCAGTTTCATTAGTATAAACGTGCCATAACATTAAACGTCAAAACATTGCTGCACAATCAATTTGTATTTGTGCAAGCGGTGTGTACTGAAAACCAATTGTCTCGTTAGCAAAAATCTATATTTATTCACTTTGTAACCGAATGTGATAAAAAAGTATGTCTCTTATGTTGAAAATAAAAACCAAAGCTGTAACGTAGATGAGTGTAATGTTGAATAAAACGATCATAAGCCATTATCGTATGAGGATTTGTCGAACAAATAATTTCACTGTTTCTTAATTAATTTTACTCCAAATACATGTCGTACACCTCAAACAAACGTCACATATGAAACTAATGGAATTGAAACAATTCAATGCGATTGACTAATGAATCAAATAAAACGTTTTTGTATTGATACATGTTACTACTCTTGATTTTTGTTTTGACATAGTGCGAGCTAAAAAATGTGAATGACAATTGATATGATCAGTGAACGTTTCATTCAATTCAAAAGGGCGTTTTTTACCAGTTTCAGGATTTTTTTTTTTTAAATAAAACATGCAAAAATTTATATTCTGATCGCTGGAAATATTAATAATAATATTTATGCACCGCCAAGACTGCCTGAATGTCCGTTTAAATAATCTCGCTGTGCACATGTTAAATGTTATAAAACTGACAAAAAAATATGTTCATAAAGACCGAACAAAACACTATTTTGATTTGATCATAAAAACACACAAATATAATCACAGTGAATTGTGAGAGAAATTGGACCGAAAATTGATTGCAGAACAACAATTACAATTGAAACTTACAATTTTCACGATACATATATGCTTATTTTTTTCTATACATGGTCTTATGAAACTTAGCCAAGTTCGAGTGGTAGTATTTTGTTTAAAAAAAAAATACTTTTCTTAATGTCATCAAATTTATTTGAATAAATTTCAACAAAAAATAAAGTTTTGAATATTTTCATTTGAAGAAGTAGATTTTGATTTTGTCCACGTTGAGCAATTGTGGTTGTTTTGGGCAGCTTATAATTGGAAGAGTGATGTCATTGCTTTAACAACAGTGCTTAGAAGTCCTGAAAAAATGTTATCATCAGACTCTGAGGCCCTTTCTTTTAATTCGTCTTGCAATTTCTTATTCGAATCCAACAATTCGGTCTTTTCCTGTAACAATCAATCAATGCAATTCAGTTAAATTCTATTTAATATTAACGACGAATCGTCGACGGGTGAGCCATTTTTGTTTTGCATATTGACAGAGCTCTGAAGTGACTCACTTGAAAATCTCTTCGTTTTTCATCATTCACATATTTGATATGTACATAGCTCATATCCATGGCATTTTCAAGACGATATTGAAGCATCGAGTCTCTTCCACTGTTATCTTGTTCAGTTTTAAACTATTTTAAAGAGCATATGTTACTATTATGAGATGTGTTTCTGAAATGAGGTGAAACATTTTCGATTCAAACCTTTGATAAAATGTTTTGTTTTATGCTTTCATGAATTTCGTTCAATTGTGATTTGCCATAGAATGAATCACTTTCAATGAGTGTTTTTTGCATCCCATTTGTATACCGTCCCAAGCAATTGTTGAACAATTCCAAATTTTTTGCATCTGCTCTTGCTTCAGCTAAAGCCATTTGCATCTGTTCTTCTCTGGCTTCAGCCCTTGCTTTTGCCGCTGCTTCTGCCGTTTTATTCTTCAGATCCTAAATGGAATAATATATTTAATTCGAGTTCATTAAGAAATTCGAACAAATGAATGCGACTACAAAGCTTACTTCAGTAAATTTGCGTTTATTTTCATTTTCCTGCTGGAAGCGATTGTAAGCAGCTCCAATTTCATTTTCAAGTTTGTCCCGGAATGTTTGGTTCAATTCATTGTTATTGCGCAACTGTTGCGCTTCAAACTATAAAAATACAGCTTAAGTGTGGAAAAATGTGCCAAATTTGAATTTGCAAACGTTCTTACCTTTAGAAAGGATTCATGTTTGGTAGACTCGTGCATTTGCTGCAAGTCCCGTTGATTCAAAAATGATTCAATTTGGCCTGTGGACTTGTACATTGAATCGTTGTAGAACTTTGAGCAGTCCATGTACAACACCTGGATATTCGCTTTCGCTATAGCCTAATTTGATAAGAACAATCGTTAATTTCGTGAATGTTTTCTACTCAAATGGCACAGTTGCACTGACAATAGCCGAACATTCACCTTTGAATTATTTTCTTTCTCTTCGTTTGCCTGTCTGAATGAATTATATTTCGTTTGAATATCTTTGGCCAGCTTATTACGGAATGGTCGCACTATTTCATCGCCACCAAGTGTCGGTTGTATTGCAAACTATATCGAAGAGCACATTTACATAAGATAAAAATATCAATATCAAATGGAAATCTCCATTCTATACCTTGGACAAAGCGTTTGCCTTGGCGTCATCGTGAATTTCTTTGAACTCAATCTGATTAAAATATGGCGCAATCTCATTGTGCGATTTCTCTTCGATGCGTTGGTTCATTGAATCAACATAAAAGTCCAAACATTCGATGAACGCTGCCATAATAGATGCCAATGCAGTGCCCTGTTTAACAAGAAAAAAATGCTCATTTTCGTGAAAATGTTCCAAAACAATTAACAAACCGCCATCACTGTGTTCGGCCGCGGAGTTTCTTCATCATTGAAAATGGTAACATATGTTTGTAAATATGTCACCAAATCACGGGCTCGTATTTTCTGTCCGTTGATTTTCTTCAAAATCAGATTTTCGGGTGCGAGAATTGATGGCACTAAACTTTTCAAATGTTCAATGAATTCAGCGTCAATTTGACTCAAGTCTCCGTTAATATTTCGTCCAGTTGCAACGGCAGAACCCGGGCTAGGCATCAAATATGCACCGATTTCATTGAAGCTTGCCTTGAGTCGACTTCTCAATTGTTTCATTTCGGTTGTGTGATCGGAACTTTCGTTCAATATTTCATCAATATACGTTTCTCCATTGCCGTATGGAATTTCAGTAGGATGTGGCCAATCGCGGATGATGAAGAGCAACTTGTGAAATGGTATTTCGTTCGTTTGTTGCATTGCAAGCCGACCGTACTCCGTAAATAGTTCCAAATTTTGTAAATCGTCTTCTTGAATGTTCTGCATGACATTACAGCATTGAACCGACGATAGCATCATGCTGATTGCAAAAATTGTTGTATTATTCTTCAATGATGTTCGACTATCGAAAATTCCTTGTGTATCCATTAGCAGGATCGCCACTTTTTCACCGTTTGCGAAATCATGTGTGAAAATTTCCGACCACATATAAATGCCGGTAGTTTTGGGCTGATGACCGCCTGCAAATTCAAATCCGTTCAATCTATTGCCAGTTTCCTTTTCACCCAACCAATCAGACACATCATGTTTTTTATACTTTTGATTGGAATTAAACAAGAAAAAAAAACATTTGCGTTTTAAATTCAATAACGAAATCGAACAAAAACAAAACGTGAAGATTGCAAATGCAAGGTAATAACCTTCATTTGCACTCTAATACGTTACCTGGGCGTTTAAATATTTCAAGAAAAAGTTCAATAGAAAACTTTTTCCTTTTCGAAGTGCGCCAGCAACAGAAACAATCACAACATTTCGATCTTTTATTTGATCCGCTGATAGAATTCGCTTTAAATAGTCCAAATTTGTTTCGAATTTCTGATTTACAGGAGTTATTATTTGAACCGCTCCGCCTGAACTCATCATATTGAAATAATGGTATTATGAATTAATTCACTTTCTTTAAAATGTTGAGAGAAAAATGCAGCGAAACGTCCTTTGTTCATTCGGTTGAATTGCACTGTTTAATAATGTCAAAGTCACTTGTATTTATACCGAAATAATTCTAAAAATCTGGGAATATTTTTTTTCCATTGATAAAGGAATGACCACAGATTTGCAAGAAAAAAAACTTTTTGCGGTCAAACGATTTTGGTTATAATTAAATTTCGATCCTGTATCAGTTGCAGGAATAGTGACACATAAACCACGATTAACGCGCTCAGACATATGCGATCTATGTGGCTCTCGTAGATTTCAGTTGGATGACATTTTCACCAACGAATTTTGTCCTTATCTGTGGATCGTGCGTTCGTTATCCGTATGCACATGAAAAACCAATGAAATGTAGCATTATTATTTTGCACTTTGTATGATACTACAATGTCTCGTCTCAAGATATGCTAATGGGTAACGGAAATTCGTATATGCATATGATATGCAATTCGAACTGCGGATAACCAACGGATGTGATAAGCACGCACAATTACTGTTTGGTTGATTTTACCACCTTTTTAATTTTGATTTACAATGTAACAATATTTTTGGTATTTTTACAATTAAAATAAATTCTACTTCTTAACCGTATTCCATCAAATTTGGAAACATCAAAGAAAGTATTAAACACCAGCTGAAAAATGATCGAATATAGCATAGTTTTATATTGGAAGGAATATGAAGATTGGTAGACATTTTTCTTTAAACTATAGAATTAAACAGATGATTTGATGAAAAAAATATCTCGCTAAAACACACTATCCACAGATAAAAACAAAATTTATCAGTGAAAATGTCACCGAACTCAAGCCTATGAAAGCCGCAATTAATGTGCACTGAGTGTCACCATTTGTGCGATTGATACGAGTTCTAAATTTAATTATTATTAAAATCGTTTGACCGCAAAAAGTTTTTTTGCAAATCCGTGGTCCATTCCTTTATCAATGGAAAAAAAATATTCCCAGATTTTTAAAATTATTTCGGTATAAATACAAGTGACTTGGACATTATTAAACAGTGCAATTCAACCGAGTAAATAAACGACGTTTCGCTGCATTTTCCTTTCAACATTTTGAACAAATTAAATTCTCCCACAAAAACAACAGTTCAATATGAGTTCAGGCAGAGCGCTTCAAATAATAACTCCTGTAAATCAGAAATTCGAAATAAATTTAGACGATTTCAAGCGAATTCTCGAAGTTGATCAAATAAAGGATCGAAATGTTGTGATTGTTTCTGTTGCTGGTGCATTTCGAAAGGGAAAAAGTTTTCTATTGAACTTTTTCTTGAAATATTTAAACGCTCAGGTAACGTAATAGAGTGCAAATGAAGAATATTGAATTTAAAAAGTAAAAAAAAAATCTCGTTTTATTTCAATGAAAAGTACAAAAAACATGATGTGTCTGATTGGTTGGGCGAAAAAGAAACTGGCAATAGATTGATCGGATTTGAGTTTGCGGGTGGTCGTCAGGCTAAGACCAGTGGAATTTGGATATGGTCCGAAATATTCATACATGATTTCGCAAACGGTGAAAAAGTGGCGATCATGCTAATGGATACACAAGGAATCTTCGATAGTCGAACATCATTGAAGAATAATACAACAATTTTTGCAATCAGCATGATGCTATCGTCGGTTCAATGCTATAATGTCATGCAAAACATCCAAGAAGACGATTTGCAACATTTGGAACTATTTACAGAGTACGGTCTACTTGCGCTCAATAAGTCGAATGAAAAGGCTTTTCAGAATTTGCTCTTCATTGTTCGTGATTGGCCCAATGCATTTCAGAAAGACACACCCTATGGAGATGGCAAATTTTTTCTTGATGAACTATTGACTGAAAGTGCAAGTCACACATCCGAAATGACACATTTGAGAAGACGAATCAAGTCGAGCTTTGAAAGAGTATGCGCATATTTGATGCCTAGCCCGGGTTCTGCCGTCGCAACTGGACGAAATATTAATGGAGATTTGAGTCAAATTGACGCTGAATTCATTGAACATTTGAAGAAACTGGTACCATCAATTTTTGCACCAGAGCATCTGATTCCGAAAAAAATCAACGGACAGAAAATACGAGCCCGTGATTTGGCCACATTTTTACAAAATTATATGAGCATTTTCAACAGTGATACTTTGCCAGAGCCACAGACAGTTATAGCGGTATGTCAAACAATTCACAACTAAATACCATAACGATTGTATTGATATTTCTTTCGTCTAGGCAACAGCATCAGCACTTCTTCTTGTACTGTGCACTGACTGTTTCAACTCCTATGACGAAGCGATGACACGAAAATTCAAAGAGAAATCGAAAAATGAAAGTGAACCATATTTCTTGCCATTAGATTTGAAAATGACTCATGACGAAGCCAAAGCCCAATCGATGTCTCAGGTATTATTGCAGTTTGGAAAATGCTATTCTATATTGATTAGTTTTTGTGTGTGTCTTTAATAGTTTGTGTTAAAACAAAAGCTTGGTGCCACAGCATTAATTGAAAAATTCCAAACTGAACTTGCAAAAAAGATTGCTGACAAGTACAATTCTTTTTCTGAGGACAACAATAAAAATACAAGCGCATTCAAAGTGAGGTTTTAATAAAAAAAAAAATTTACTTACGTCACTACAGCAAGATATTTTTCAACAGACTAGAGTGGTGGCAGACCTTCGTGTCTTACACACAGAGTGCATCGCATCTTATATCAGCGCAATGGAAAAATCACTCAATCAAAGCAATCCACTTAGTAAACATGATCTGCATCAAATCCATGGAAATGAGTCCAAAGTATCAACTTCCAAGGTTCGAAAATATTTGCGCGCATTTCGTAGACATTAGAAATTCTAAGCTTATACAAAAACAGTTTTTTTATGATCAAATATTTTCATTGAATATATTGTTAGTTTGAGAACACCCGGAAATTTGGCAGCGACGAATTGATCGAAACTTTTCGCAGTAAGCTTGGGAATGACATCAATGTGCTATTCATGAAATATGATCGTCAAAATGATGAGGCACGCCAAGTCATCCAAGTATGTTAATATGCACAATTTATACAGTAGATTTTTGATATTTTGAACAAATATCGGTTTTCCGTAAAAAATCCAATTCGAAGGACTAACATGGAGCCAACGGTTTCAAATTAACAAGAGTTTACATGTGTAGTTGAAATTTAAAATGATTCACATAGGGAGCTCCCAATTTCTCTTATGTAAATTTCTGTGTGTGATGGTAGGCGGTGAGATCTCTTAATTCATTTCCATTCTCAGCTACATATGGACACTTCATACAATTTGGAAATGAAAATAATTGGTTTCTATTTGATATAGAATTTGAAAAAAAAATCAGAAGAAGAACAAGCAAGGGCCATAGAACTGATTAAGGCTGAGGAGATGGATAGAAAGATCAAAGAAGGGCAAGCCGATTTGATGAATTCTCAATTGATAGATACATGTGTAACCTCATATATGTCTTCAGTGCAGACATCACTCGCTGGTGAAAACCAATTTTTCACCCAATCGGAACTGGAGGAAATTCACAAGAATGCCAAAAAAGATGCCGTGTCAATGGTATAAACCGTCACTCATATGTTTGAAATTCAAGTTAAATATCTTACCTTTACCTCTCTGCTTACAATATTTGTGTGAAAAAGTTCGAACGAGATCACGATAAAAATGGAAGCAGTACAAATATGTTAGTATCCCGCTTGCAGAGTGACCTGGATAGGAATTTCATGCAATTTATATTACAAAACGATAACAAGCGAAGACAAAAGGAGGTAAGCACATGCAGTTTAACGCGCAATAATTATATAAAAAAATGAAAACAATTTATTATTGATTGTGCAGGCTGCTGATGAGAACGAAAGAATGAGAGATCAAATGGAAAGAATGCGCGCAGAATTGAAAGCTGTCAAAAACCAAGGTACAGGATCCTCCTGTCAAATATTGTAATACCCCTTTCGGATCAATGACGCGATTTTTCGTAAAATTTGGATACAACCTGGATCTTTTTGATTTTCATCTCTTTGAATTTTTCATTTAAAATATTGTAAAAAAATAATATAATACAATAAATTAATGAACTTCTGTACCAATATTTTGAATTATGTAAAATTTTAATTGCACGTCGCACGTGCTAATGTCATAGTTTTATTGTTTTAACGAATTTCTCCGAACTTATCTCTCTATTATTGTAATCTTCCAGAATTACAAATTGTAATGCTACCTTATACAGTGACAAATTGTCAAATTGGAAACCAATAATAAATTTTACATTTTGTTGATTTTTATTGTTTATTTGCCATTTATTAAAAACCAAAATTAATTTAAAGTTTTATACAAGTTATCAATTGATTGTATTCGTGAAAAAATAATCTCTCCATTAAATTAATTTCCATTGATTCTCCATTTTACATATTCGGCCACAATGGGCTCCAACCACTCTAAATAATAAATCTCGCTTTGATTTTTGTGTCGCTTTTTGGCACCATATAATGTCAAATGTTTCCTTGGTCAATGGTTACGCTTATAGCGGATAACAGCGAAAGACCCAGGTTCGATTCTGTGTGAAAACAAAATATTTTTTCTCTTTTTATTTTAATTTTTGTTATATTTTTTCGAATTGCTCTATTTATAATGAATGAAAGAATCAAGAAAAAAATTGATTCATCGTTCATTTGCTTCAAAAACAAGACATTTCGCTAGAAAATGTCAATAAGATTTAATATGTCTACTTTCAAAGCAAATGAAAGATAAATATTTTTTTCTTGTTTCTTCCACTCATAGAAAATGGAGCAATGCAAAAAAAAACTATGAAATAAAAAAATTAGAAAAAAAGATGAAAAAAAAAATTGTTTTCACACGGAATCGAACCTGAGACTTTCAGTGTCATGCACCGTAAGCGTAACCACTGAACCAATGCAATGCTTAAAATTTTGAGGCACCAAATGTATAACTTGAAACTCATGGAATTCATAATTTGTATATACGCAATTAGATGAACTAATACAATTGAGAAATAAAACGTGTTTTTGTGCATAACATTTCATTTCCAATAAACAGAACACAAATACAGCCATAGCATATAGATTATAGCGATTATAGAACGCAGCGTGTATTACAGTGTACGAGGGTCACTATTTAAGTTTTTTCAAAAACATATATAAGACAATGGGGTTTCATCGAAAATGGTTTTATTGTTTTTCAAAATATTCGCCATGATGATCAATACACTTTTGCATTCGCTCGAACCATTTGTCATAGCATTCATGCCACTCCGAAAGTGATATCTCCAAAACGTGTGTTTTGAACGCATCAACTGCTTCTTCGGGCGATGAAAATCGTTGACCACGCAGTTTATTCTTCTCGCTCGGGAATAAAAAGAAATCGTTGGGTGCCAAATCAGGACTGTACGGCGGATGACCCATTAAATCGATCTTTTGACCGGTCAAATAATCGACTGTTTGATGAGATGTGTGAGAGCTCGCATTATCATGATGAAGAATTATTTTGCGACGGCGGTTGTTTTTTCTTATTTCATCAAACACTTCGGGCAAACAAATGGTGGTGTTACAATCAGAATTGACGGTCTTACGAGCCTCTAGTGGAACTGTTGCCACATGACCACTTATCGCGAAAAAACAGGCGACCATTTGCTTCGCAACACTTCGAGATCGAACAACTTTTGTTGGGTTATCTTCACTTTGAAAGACCCATACAGTCGACTGCTGTTTAGTTTCGAGCTCATACGCGTAGATCCATGATTCGTCACCAGTGACGATAAAATAGACGGATTTTGAAACACCACGATTGAATTTCTTGAGCATTTGTTTACACCAATCGACACGAGCCTTTTTTTGAGCGATTGTCAAATTATGTGGTATCCAACGAGAGCAATTCTTTCTGACAGTTAAATGTTCATGTAAAATCTTAAATACGCTGGTCGCACTAATGCCCAGGGATGCCTCAATCTCGTGATATGTTACATGACGATCTTCCATTATCATATTTCTGACAGCATCGATGTTTTCTGGTACAACAACTGATTTTCGACGACCTTCGCGGAACTCGTCGATGAGCGATAGGCGACCGCGCTTGAATTCGTTGTACCAATTATAAATTGTCCAAAGACTTGGTACTTCATCGCCAAAGGCCAAATGAAGTTGATCAAAACACTGTTGTTGTGATACACCCAATCGAAAGTGGAAAAAAATAATCGCTCGAAAATTTTCACGAGTAAAATTCATTTTTTGGCTGAGACGCAATTTACATGTTACGGTAAACAATACAAATAACGATCGAATGACAAAACGTTCTGAGAACGTTTATGCTACAAAATGTTAAGCTTAACGAATATGACAATGGTTTGCATCGGGCTATACTAAAACATACATATTGAAGAAACTTAAATAGTCGCCTACGTAATATACATCTGTGATTTTCATAGTAGGAACATTGTTTTGTCAACGACTATACATACGATTACACAGAATAGAATCCCAAATAGTTTGACATATGAAAAAAAAAAACATTATTTAGGTAAGAAATTAAAACATTTTATTGCAAATTAAGATTCAAATTAATATTTTGAATACAATTAAAATGAAAAAAAAAACACAACATAATTCATTGTTGACTTCTGTGATGATTTGGTCATCTTCCAACTAAATTGTCTATTCCATTGCATCGTACATGGCTTTCAATTGAGTGTACACTGGTCCAACGGTTGGTGGCATCTCATCACTGTATTTTGAAATACATTAGTAAAAACCATGTGTTCAATTAATATTAATTGTTAAGAATATTACCCCCAGATTTTATACACCTCATCACTGTTGATCACATGAAATAGATTTAGAATACAGAACAAAATTCAAATGACTTATTCATGTTTTTATAAATTAAAATGTGGCTGAATAAAATAAAAGAACTTACAGAACTGTCAACTTAGCCTCCTTCGTTTTGAGCTCTTTCAGATAATTAATACTAGGAGAATTTAAAAAGAAATGAAGAAAATAAAGAAAATGTGAAATGAAATGACTCGAATAATGTTTGAATTTCTATTCAATGTGATCAGTGATTCGTCAACATGAAATTATGATTATGTTTATGATTAAGGAATTGCAATTCCATTTACTCTCTACCTCGAAACCAATAGAAAGGATTTTTCCCGAGGTTTCTGATTTTTTTCACATATTTAAAAAAAGGAATTACTCACGTTTTGACCATACTCTTTCTTTGTCTGAAATAATTTGATTGAAATTAATTGGCGCCAAAAAATATTTTCAAAATAGATATACATACATATCTTTTCTGCATGTTTCCAATCTCCGTTGATTAATTTTTTCCACGCCTTCGAAATGTGATCCACTTGAACCAGCACCTCTGAAATATTAAATGTTTTAAATGAAATAATTGATCATCACATTCGAATTATGTTGATGGTGTTTATGATATGTCAATTCAATAGTTTTTGTCAATTAGAAAAAAATAATCAAATGATACAAACCCTCCTCTATTTCCACTACTGGCTTGAATGGATCTGTAAATAAATGATAATAATTTTGTGAGGCACATACAAACACAAAATGATCGTTTAATTTACTTACAGGGTCACTGAGACCAAAACGATAAAAGCGAGCACGACAAATTTACCAGAAAGAGACATTTTGCTTGTTTCAAGAATAATAGGTTCTCAAATTGAACTGAATTTCCAATGGGTCGGCTTTATATTTATACTAAATTTTCACACCTTTACTATAGCAAAAAATTCCAAATAATTTATTAGAATCTGTTATTACTTTCAATTAATTTGCGTCAGCAACTGAGTAAACACAATTGTTTTCATTATTTGAACACATGTGGTTGAAAGAATTTGCATCTAAAACCACATGAGTAGTTTGATGATCATGGACTATTATCAGGATAACAAATGTGACCTATTTTATCAGCAAATTTCTTTGAATTGGGTTCACGTTTATACAAATGTTTCATACTTTACTTAGCAACTACAATTTTTCCATTTTGTCAGTAATTCACAATCTTTACACGTGCTGATGACAGAATTTAGAATCTATCGTATGATTGCTGTCATCATAATATTCAACAAAAACAAAAAAACAAACAACCTCACAAATCCACGAAAATTAGACCAAAGTATCGTATGAGTCGTAGACATTAGAAATTCGAAGCTTATACGGAAAAAGATTTTGTATAATCAAATATTTTCATCGAAATTGTTAGTTTGGATCGAAATTTTTCGCAGTAAGCTTGGGAATGACATCAATGTGCTATTCATGTACTATTACGATGAGCTACATATGGACACTTCATACAAGTTGGAAATGAAAATAATTGGTTTTTATTTGATATAGAATTTGCTATTACTATTGCCAAACATGTCCATCCATCCATGTATTCATCCATAGATATGGATGGATGGATGGATGGATAGATTTGGGGACTAATGTCCGTTAGCCAGAATTTGAAACAAAAATTAGAAGAAGAACAAGCAAGGGCCATAAAACTGATTAAGGCTGAGGAGATGGATAGAAAGATCAAAGAAGGACAAGCCGATTTGATGAATTCTCAATTGATAGATACATGTGTAACCTCATATATGTCTTCAGTACAGACATCACTCGCTGGTGAAAACCAATTTTTCGCCCAATCGGAACTGGAGGAAATTCACAAGAATGCCAAAAAAGATGCCGTGTCAATGGTATAAACCGTCACTCATATGTTTGAAATTCAAGTTAAATATCTTACCTTTACCTCTCTGCTTACAATATTTGTGTGAAAAAGTTCGAACGAGATCACAATAAAAATGGAGGCAGTACAAATATGTTAGTATCCCCCTTGCAGAGTGACCTGGATAGGAATTTCATGCAATTTATATAACAAAACGATAACAAGCGAAGACAAAAGGAGGTAAGCACATGCAATTTAACGCGCAATAATTATATAAAAAATGAAAACAATTTATTATTGATCAGTGCAGGCTGCTGATGAGAATGAAAGAATGAGAGATCAAATGGAAAGAATGCGCGAAGAATTGAAAGCCTCCTGTCAAATATTGTAATACCCCTTTCGGATTAATGGCGCGATTTTTCGTATAATTTGGATACAACCTGGATCTTTTTTATTTTCATCCTTTTGAAGCTAACTAACTATTTTTTTGTTCATTTTTTCATTTAAAATAAAAAAGAATATAAAAACTTAATGTACTTCTTTGCCAATCATTTGAATTATATGAATTATAATAATATAATATATAATTTAAATTATATTATTTGAATTGCGGGTGCTTTATAGTGCCATAGTTTCGTTGTTTCACTTAACGGATTTCTAGGTAATTATTTTTTTCTCTATTACTGTAATCTGACAGAATTACACATTGTAAGTATTACTCTAGTAGTAACTCTATACAATGACAAATTGTCACATTGGAAACCAATAATACATTTTACATTTTGTTGATTTTTATTGTTTATTTGCCATTTATTAAAAACCAAAATTAATTTGAAGTGATAAAAAATGCATCAATGCGTGAAAAAAATCTCATTCCCAAGCTTACTGCGAAAAATTTCGATCCAAACTAACAATTTCGATGAAAATATTTGATTATACAAAATCTGTTTTCGTATAAGCTTCGAATTTCTAATGTCTACGACTCATACGATTATTGGATTATTGGATTTGTACGGGGAGTATACTAGGTCTGCTATCCAGCAAGATCCATAGTTTCTCGTTGCTCAGGTTTTTTAACCTATTGCAAGACGCCCGTTTGTGTGTCTAAAACACACCAATAAGTAGTTCATTATCCAAAGATTTGATTAAGGCATGGGTTCAATATCCACGCCTTTTTAAAGAATTCGATTATTCTTAAGATTTTGGGCACTTCATGCTGCTTGTCGATACCCCCTTCGAAACTACCCCTCAGAGCATTTAACCCCGGACATCTGAAAATGAGGTGAGCCGAGGTTTCCTCTTCTCTTCCACATAGTCTGAAGTCTGGATCATCTCTCAGGCGGAGATTTCTCAAGTGGTAATTTACCCCAGCATGGCCCGTTAAAATACCCACTGCAGTTCTAAGCTCATCCCTTGGGAGCCTCAGAAGCTGTCTTGTGAGTTCTGAGCTTGGGTTTTTAACAAAAAAATTTGTCTGTCCACATGTAAATGAACCTTGCCAGTTCTGTGTGCTACGGGTCTTAAGCCACGTACTCAAGACCCCCTTTACTCGTGAATACTCCAGTGGTAAGACTGGTTCTGGTCCAATGATTGTGCAAAGAGCAGCTACTTTGGCCGCCTTGTCTGCCAGATCATGACCTCTTATATCTGAATGTGCTTTGACCCAGACCAAACGAAGAGGGTTTGTTTCAGAAATAGTCTGAAGCGCATTGTAGCAGGTCATGACAAGGCCGCTTCCCACCGTAAAACCCCCGAGTTCCTTTACGGCCCCCAGACTATCAGTGAAAATGGCCACATTTCCCACCATTTCGCCTTCCAGAACTTTGCAAGCACAGTGATAAATTGCAGATATCTCCGCTTGTTTGACTGTTGTTGTTTGTCCCAGGGGAGTTGAAAAAGTTGTACTCTCGCGCATGCAGTAGAAACCACATCCACTACCCGTATCCCTCACTGATCCATCAGTAAAGTAGGAGGAATGTGCCCAAGTGCTATGCTGAAAGAACTCATTTAAATTTTCCGTCACTATCACCTCAAACTTGCTGTCAACGTTATAGGACAGCTTTGCGAGTCTGTCAGATGGTGCTTCTAGAACTCTGTCGATAGCGAAGAGATTCTTGAGTGCCTCTGTATGCGGATCCTTTACAAATAAATTTTGTTTGGTTTGTGCCTTTAATCTAAAAGCGGTTTTCATTGCTTCAGATTCAATGAAATCCTCTAGTTTAGGAAGGCTCAACAGGACATCGAGCGCTGCCTGTGGCGTGGTGCTCATGGCACCTGTAACACACATACAAGCTACTCTTTGTATATGATTGGGTTTATTCCTTGCGGTGGCGGTCCTTGTACCTCTCCACCACACAAAAGCCCCATATGCAAGCATTGGTTTAACGACCGCTGTGAAAAGCCAGAGGAGACTTTTTGGTGATAAACCCCAGGTCTTACCTATAGCTGATCGACAGCACCAGAAAACCCTCAAGCATTTCGAGATCCTGTAGTACCTGTACTCAATGTGCATTTGCCAGTTGAGCTTATGATCCAATATTATTCCCAGGTATTTTACTTGGTTTTTCCTTTCAATTTCTTTACCGAAAAGGACCGGATTTTTTAAAACCTTGTAAGCTCCTGTTTTTCGTGAATATTATTAATTCTGATTTTGCAGGGTTAACTCTGAGTCCCATTTCTAGACACCACTTTTCAACCAGCCTTAAAGCCGCTTGTGTTCTATCTGAAATGGTACTTACGAATTTTCCTCTGCAAATTATGGTCAAGTCATCGGCATAGCCCTCCGATCGGAAGCCATTTTCATGTAGTCTTTTCAAAATACTGTTCATGACCATAAGCCATAGGAGCGGTGACAATACACCCCCTTGAGGTGTCCCTCTTGTTGCTTGCACTGTCACCGTCTCTCCGTTCGTTTTGAGAATTATATTTCTGCTTTCTATCATGGACTTAATCCATTCCTGTATCAGACGATTTTTGGTGTTGTCTGCTACCCCTTTGCTTATGGCATTAAAAGAGTATCGTATGAGTATACTTTGCTCTAATTTTCGTGGATTTGTGAGGTTGTTTGTTTTTTTGTTTTTGTTGAATATTATGACAGCAATCATACGATGGATTCTAAATTCTTTCATCAGCACGTGTAAGAATTGTGAATTACTGACAAAATGGAAAAATTGTAGTTGCTAAGTAAAGTATGAAACATTTGTATAAACGAGAACCCAATTCAAAGAAATTTGCTGATAAAATAGGTCACATTTGTTATCCTGATAATAGTCCATGATCATCAAACTACTCATGTGGTTTTAGATGCAAATTCATTCAACCACATTTGTTCAAATAATGAAAACAATTGTGTTTACTTAATTGCTGACGCAAATTAATTGAAAGTAATAACAGATTCTAATAAATTATTTGGAATTTTTTGCTATAGTAAAGGTGTGAAAATTTAGTATAAATATAAAGCCGACCCATTGGAAATTCAGTCCAATTTGAGAACCTATTATTCTTGAAACAAGCAAAATGTCTCTTTCTGGATTCCGTGACAAAATGCGGACGACAAAAAAAATCGAAAGTGTGCTGATGCCATAATTACGTACTAATTATGAACTATGCGTACTAACCAAAAAAAAATGCAAAATATGGCCTAGGCAAACTGTTATAAAATCATGATTTTTTCAAAAAAATCACTTTTTTTAACGGAAAAAAATTTGAAAATGTTATATATGCTATAATTACGCACTAATTATGTACTTTCTTTCCAAAAAAAAAAAATTCGTTTTTCCCCCAAAACTGCTATAAAATGGCTATGCATAACATTGGCCACCACAAATTTTTTTTTTCGTACATTTTAAAAATTTGAAAATGGCATAATTACGTTCTAATTATGTACTATTTAAAAATATATCACTTCATGGGTCATGTTCATCGTGTCGGAAAAAATCCAGTTGCTTATATTTTATAAAAAATTTAACTGTTATAACTATTATAATTTATGGATCTTTTCGAACACTGATTCAACAACTATATAGGAATTACGTACTAATTTTGTACTATTCAAAAATACCATCCGACCCCCCCATTCCGACCCCAGCACTCATTTTTCACTCCCTGTCCAATTTCACTGGAAATCGAAAAAATGAAACATATTTTGTACTGAATCGAGATTTTTTTGTACTAACGCCCATAATATTCTTCAAATAATTTTGTCATGCAAATATTTATTTATGATATGCTGAAATCACGGTACGAAATATTTTGCGCAAAAAATAAATTTTCGATCATCAACTGTTTTCTAGAATATAAACAGTACCGGAGAAACTGAAAACAAATTTTATTGAATTTTCTTTTCCGAAAAAACAAACATGCATCCGTTTTTAATGGTGTAAAAACTCTAATGATTCTCTTATGAGAAGTCTTTTATACTCATCATCTCACATCATTATCATCATTTCAAAATCACAAAGTCAAGTTCATAAAAAACGCTCAAAAATGTTATTATTATTATTATTATCAATAAAATGATAAAACCTTACGATTAATCTCGAAAAAAAACCAAGAAAAATACTGATACGAGTGTTTGTCTCTCTATTTAATTTTTATACAATTTTTTTAAACAAAACCAAATAAATGAATAAAAATAGGTGATATTGATTGAACGTTAGCTTTGTTATTGTAAATCATTTAAAATTACGTCATCAAAGTTTCCCAGCTTTTCTATACTTGGATTATATATTTTTTTGGTGTTATTAACACCAACGTATTAGTTTTAATGCTATAGTTGATATCAGAGGGCGCCTTCAAATAAAAGTAACCAAATTAGCACGATGCCAAACGACCAGACATCTGATTATATAGTACTAAGTTTTTTATAAATTAGAGATTCTGAACCAACCATCTGTATGGAAATCGTTCATGAAATTTACACAATGCACATCAAAATATTTTTGGCTGCCAAATCTCTGTGCAGAAAAGTTGCGAGATATTTAATAATCCATTCTGCCATACAAAACTTTTGCTCAAAAACGAAAACTTAATATGAAAGGTACCCTTAATTTGCATTGTGAATTAAATAACCTGTGCAAAGTTTCACGTACTTATGATATCATAGATGCATGATTCCTATACAAAAGTTCACATTTTTGATGATTCTGTATGGAACATGTCATTCATGGGTACGGAAAAAAATTTAAGGGAGGTCAAAATTTAAGGATGGCACGGAAAAAATTTAAGTCACCAATCAAAAAACTGAATTTGAAGAGCTAAAAAGGTATTCATTTTCTTGCAAAAAACCCTTAGCAAAACGAAGAAATGTTCCGCCTGGGAAGGTATCTGGGATGATTTAATCCGGACTTACACCTCCCCACTGTGCCCACGTATGGTCAAAAAGTAATTGGGTCGCAAAAGTGATTTTTGGAACACTTCATTGTATGAAACTTTACACAATCACCAAGTGTCGCTCAAAAACTAATGATTTCTCTTCCTCATGATCCCCAATCATCCTATGAAGTCAGATTTTAAATAACATTTAGTGGAATTTAACAGTGACCGGTTCGCGCATATTTCTATGCCTGATAGCTATGCTAAGCATAGCGGAGACGTAAGCCGCAACGCACCCGTCGCCATTCGATTCGAGCTATATTGTATGCGCACGGTCGTCTGCATAAACGAACATGTGTATTGTTCATATAGAGTGAACGGCGATGCGTCGGTTGCGTTTGCGGCTATGCTTGGCATATCTATGCTACCTAGCGTATTTAGGCAAGCATAGAAATATGCGCGAACCGGTCACTGGAATTTAATCGTACAAAACCAGTTTATTGTAAATATTATTTTATTATTATTATTAAAACATAAGGCTTTTTTTGCTACAATTGTTGAGATAATAAATAAATAAATATTTGAAAAATGATTATGTTATCACATTAACAGCCATATGTGCATGTTGAACAACATGTTGGTTTCACAACAACTGGTTTGATAACAACAACAGTTTCAACGCGATAGCATTGTTGACGAGCTGGATCAAATTCATGATCTTCTGGACAGAATCGTCGGAATACAAAGAATTTGCGGAGTAAACCCTTTTTCCGAACGCAAATAAAGTAATTGCTTTTATTCCATGGATCAGCCAACAATTCACGATCAAAACGGCATCCGTGAATTTGGGGACAAGTAGACCAATCGGCTGAACATTGACGGCCATCAAAAGCTTGATCATATGGGCATTCATATACTGTATTATGGCCACAAAAATGGCACTGAATATATCTGCAAATTAAGAGAAATATTTAGTTTTTTTTGCAACCCGAAAATGTTTCGATAGCAGAAGTTAAAAAATTATATATATCAAGTACTTTTGACAATGTGATGGATGAGGAAATCTGCCCACACGTCGACAAGCCCAACCGGACGTAATTTGACATGGCTTGGTTGGTTGTTTATTGTGATTATTGGCAATGCCGGCAATAATATGCCCTTTGCTCTGATTATTCGCTCCTTGTGCGACAGGAATCATCAACGAACCATTCACATTTATCACAGTCTGTTCTTCATCGTGTTTTATTCCATGCAATAGACCACCTCCGCCACAGAAAGGCTTTCGAGCCAATTCCTGATCATGCTGAAATTGTTCGGCTTCTAATTGTTGTTGAGCCAATTCATCTTGCGTTATATTGTATGTTGATGTAATTGTATGATTCGTTTCAATTAAATATGGTTCATCATTGTAAATTACTTCTTCGTACGCTGGACAATTTTCAACAACCTCGACCGTTGTGAGAACGGCAACGGTTTGTGTGCATTCGTGGCATGGTGGTTTTTCGCAGCATGGTCGTTCACATTGTTGGCACGGTGGTCGTTCGCATGAGCATGGTTTGTTGCATTTTTTGCACGGATTTTCGCATGATGAGCATGGACTCTCACATTGAGAACAAGGTGGACGGTGACAAGTGTCGCAAGGATCGCACGTCGAACAAGGATGTTCGCATGGCGTACACGGTGGAGTATAGCATGTTGTTTCGCATGGCTTTTCAATTATCACTTCGCAGCCACAGTCGCATTCTGAGCATGCAGACACTGTAAATAATGGCGAAATTGATGAATTTTTTGACGCATAAGGAAAGATTGAAATGGTGAAATTTACCTGGAACCGGTTGAACGACATGCTGAATGACAACTTGTGGCGCACCTATGTGAATATTATTAACGGGATTTGTTTCAACAATTGCATAGTTTTCGTTGATGTTTTGAGGTTTTTTATGTGGTTTATCTATGTATGTATCGTCGTCGTCTTGATCTTCATCGTCGTCATTACCATCTGGTTGTATTGTGGTCGTTTCACTTTCGTCATCCGAGTTAGCTGCATCTGTCTGGTCATCCGTATTCGCTTGCAGTGTTGTCGTTGTGGTCGCAATATCTTCACCATCTTCGTCTTCTTCGTACTGAAATTCTGGCTCTGTTGTCGTTAAATCTGAAAGAGTGCCATTTTATTTGAATTTCTTCGAATAATTAGTAAATGTGAATGAACTCTTTAAATAGCTTAATTTGTATTTGGATGTGATTTAGCGTAAGCAATGCGATAAAATTAAATGGATATTCAAAATTAGATGGAGAGAAGAGATAGACGCTATAAATTTATGCAAATATTTATTCATGAGATGATTGCAAAATGATGGTATATGCATTGGTATACACGATAAGTGTCTGAGTAAAGCAAATGGAGAAAAATGAATAAATGAAAACACATATCGCATTTTTTTTTAATTCATTTTTGTTATTACATTTAATTACATTACAATAAATAGATAAATAGACATTTTGATACTGTTTTTTTTTTTTTTCAATTTTAAAAATGGCAAATAAATTAAATTAGGTAATTTTTTTGTAGATTTTTTTTTCTTCTCGAATGGTTCTTACGCCCTTGCTATTTGTTGTGGTTGAATGTTGAAAGAGAGAAAGCATGAAAGAGACCATTTCAAGAATGATTTCTATCAAAGAAAAGATAATTGAACAGTTATCTTTTCTTTCATCTCCTTATTTGTTTCGTTGTTGTTTTATATTTAATGTTTCTTTGATGGGGTCTTCTTTTTTTGTTCTCCGTTCTTTTTTAGTCCCTTTTTCTTTTGGCATTTCTTTTGTTTTTTGATTCGTTGACGGCGTTTCTTGGCCTTCTTGATTTTTTCGGCATCGTCACATTCCGTGCATAATTGCCAGTCTGGATCGAATACACGGCCATCGGTACAATCACGACGATACACATCGTATGATTCTCTGAATCCATTTTGTTGACGAATACAAATAAAGTAGCTAGTCTCATCCGATGGATCTTCGATCATTTGACGATGGTACAAACATTGTTCAAGTGCTTCACATGATGACCAATCGGTGGTACATGAACGTATATCTGGATCGTATGCTTCATCATCTTCACATTCGTAAACGGTGTTTGATAATTCACGATTGAACGGTCCTTGTCTTGAACATTGTACGTATTTCTGGCAATCGATTGGATGTGCGTATCTTCCTTGTCGTGGACATTCCCATCCTTCTACAATGCTACAGCCAGTGTTTCTATCATTGTTTTGATTCTTCTTTTTGCTGAACAATCCACCGTTGTCTTTGATCGATAAAATATCATCAACTTTGTTAAGGACAGCATTTTGAATACCGGTAGCTGCATTGCCAATGGCACCTTTACGTGCTTTAGGTGGTACAACCTTTTCGGTAATATTCGCGAGAGAACGGGCCAAACTCTTGCGGATCTTTTGCACTGCTGGATAACGGACCTTCTTCTTTTCACCGGTCTTCTTCTTTTGACTACGATTTTAAAAAAAACACACAAATTAATTGACTTACAACACGAATAAATATGCAATTTTTTTATTTACCCGTCGGCTTTTTTGCTGCTAGACTTCTTTGATGTAGTTTTCTTGCTGCCGGTCTTCTTCTTCTTGCTGCCAGTCTTCTTCTTCTTATTTTTGTTGGCTTGTTGTTGTTTACGCTTCTTTTGGCATTCTTCGTCGTCGTCCTCGCATGAATCGATACAGCTGTCATCGGCTGAACAATCATCTGATGATGATGATGATGCTGCTGATGATGATGATGATGATGATGATGATGCTGCTGATGATGATGCTGATGATGATGATGATGAATCTGTTACATGAAATAAGGGAACATTTGATTATAATTTGCATTCAGAAATTTCCGATTGTTAGAACATACCATCAGCGCATGAATCGTCATCATCACAGTCTGAAATTTGAAAAAAAAGAAGTAGAAAAATGATTTAGAATCGAGTTGTGAGTCGGACTGGAGTAGAAGGCATCAAATTGAATAAAAAAATTGTATAAATTATTTACCATCATCTGGACGGTGAACTTGAACGGTTTCTTCAATACCATCTTCATATTCGTAGTCATCGTCTTCATCAGAGCATTCCTCTGACGAGCAGTCTGAAATTGTGTGGAAGTTTCAACGTGAAAAATCAATGTGTACCAGAATGAATTGAATCAGTAATAAAATGGCACATACCATCATCATCATCATCTGGACATTCTTCAACGATTTCGATACCACCTTCAACTTCTTCTTCTTCCCAGATAGCTTCAGCCTCTCCCGGTTCCAATTCGTCTTCATCTTCTTCACTGCAGTCATCCTCATCTGAATGACGAAATGAAAATCAGTTAATATTTCAAAGAAAAACTTGAGCATAAATCCAAAACTAACCATAATCTTCTTCGCATGAGTCACTGCCGCTGCTACTGCCACTGCTGCTGCCGCTACTGCTTCCGCTGCTGCTTCCACTGCTGCTTCCGCTGCTGCTTCCGCTGCTGCTGCCGCTGCTGCTGCCGCTGCTGCTGTCACAGCCATTATCTTCATAATCATCGCAGCCTGTAGAATGAATGGAATATTCACAATCAAAATTTCCGAAACGATCTTCAATTCAATGTTGTATGTTACTTACTGCCGTCAGCGCATTCATCGTAATCGTCATCGCATGAGTCAGTTGATTCGCATGATTCTGTGTGTGGAAAAGTGCGGAATTTTCCCATGTCAGTATACACTAAAACTCATCTCATTTTGTAATTGATAATTGAATTTTCCATACAAATTTCATAACAATGTTCGCATATTTACCTCTTTTTTATATTATTTGATAATAATATATGTAAAAGTGGGAAAATTTGGATGAGCAACATTTCAATCGATTCGAGTACACTTTATATATCAAGTTTGTTTAACACGCGATACAAATCATTCACATTGTACAAAAAATTTATATGGAAAATATCGAAACTTCATTTTTTATGGATACTTTTCGGATTTTCTAACACTTAATAAACTAGAGTGAGGTGCGATCATTTGTTAGAGTTTGGTTAATTTTGAGAGTTAATAAAACGGCCGAAATAGAACTGCATTGACGAATGAATGTATGTATGTCTTAAATTGACTTTTGAAAATTTGTCTGTACCGCAATCAACTTTGATGCCACGGCGACGGCATTCGCCGGAAGTATTTTCAGCGCTTTCGCCATCGCCATCGCCATCGCCATCGCCATCGCCATCGCCATCGCCATCGCCATCGCTATCACCATCACCATCACCATCTTCACCGCTTATATCTTCTCCGTTACCATTTTCGCCATCAGTTTCATCTGAACGAGAACCTGTTTCTGTTTCGTCCACCTCAATTTCGTCCGGGTTCGGAACATCGGTTTCTTCTAAATCAATTTCATCAGGATGATGACCATCGATTTGCTCTAAACTAGTTTCGTCGGGACGTTGACCATCGGTTTCTTCTAAATCAATTTCATCAGGATGATGACCATCGATTTGCTCTAAACTAGTTTCGTCGGGACGTTGACCATCGGTTTCTTCTAAATGAGTTTGGCTCGGATAAGAACAACCGGTTTGTTTTAAATTAGTTTCGTCGGGATGATCACAACCGATTTCGTTAACATCAGTTTTGTCCGTGACCAGACCACCGGTTTCTTCTGAATCAGTTTCTACTGGATCAGTTTCTGCGTGTGAACCGCCTGATTGAGGTTTGATTGGAATTTGTTCATTAGACGTATCTTGTGTTTCTTCATAAGATGACGACGACGATGGTTTATCATCGATTCCGGTGCTTGAAACAATTTCTATCGCTTCATTTGATTCTTCAGTCTCCTTATCTTCATCAATATAAGCGATATTACTTTGATTATAAAATACTCTGATTCATAATCTTATTTGTTTTAAATAATTAGCAACTATTTTGGTGCACTCAATTGTGAGCAAACATTTATTGATTTTAATTTTTGGTTAGAAAGATTAATGGGGAGAGGTGCAAGTGAAGAAACATCTCGTTTCTTTTGATTATATGTAATTCATTCGAAAATATCATTGAATGTGGTTAAAAACGATTGTCATATTTGGTTAGAGCAGAGCTTTTTTTCGCATTTTCAAAAAAAGATCTACATTTTACACAATTATCGATAAATGCGCTTCAAAAAAAAAAAAAAAATGAAAATGTGCCGGTGATTCGATAATATATTTGAATATTGCCGTAAATGTTGTCTTTCGGTACATTCAGTGAATGCTCATTTCGATTAAAAAATCAACAAAAAATGTTATGTACCTAAATAGAATGAGAAAAATGTGTGCGTATGTTTTGCAAGCGATAGAAACCCGTTTTGTTTTTATTTCCATTCCGAATAATTTCCAATAAACGATTCGATGTGTGCACAATCATACACACTAAACAATAATCTACTCACCGGAAACTGGATCAGAAGCCGGTTGTCCTGGTGCTGGTTGTTTAGCGGATTGATTAAATGGTGTGGCTTTGCCCAATACAACATCGACGAATTTTTCATATTTGTTGCGACGTTCATAGATACGTTTACGAAGATTGTCGGCTATATCTTTTTGTGAGTCCAATGAAATTTTTGGTCGCCATGTAGCTGCACGGAAACCTTTAACCAAACGGATTGGTCCGACTTTTTTCAAACCTTTGAAATTGAACTTCTTCTTCGATTTGGTGTCTTCGGTTTTAAGCATATCAACTGGGGCGCTGGAATTTGCTGATGGTGCTGGTGCAGCGGCTGGTGCAGCGGCTGGTTCAGCTGATTTTGTGGCTTCAGCGATATGTTCTATAAAATGATAATTTATTAAAAAATATAATTTTGGTAAATAGCAAACAAATAATAAAAAAAAACAACAAATTTCAAGATGCTATTTCCATGAACACACAGTTTTCCAGCAAAAAATTATTAATGAAAAGTTGCATCTTTTTGACGGCGACCATGATATTTCCATCAACATTTTGAATAACATAGAAAATTTAGTTACCAAAAAAAAAAAACTTACGTTCTTCAGCTGGTGCCGCGACGGCAACAGTTTCGGTGTTTGGAGCAGCTGGAGCAGCTGGAGCAGCTGGAGCAGCGACTGGTACATCAACTGGTTCATCAACTGGAAGTGATTTCAATGGGCTTGATTGAACTGGCATCTCTTCAGCTGGTGCATCTTCTTTGGCAGCTGTTTCAACTTTGACTGGGATTTCGGTCAATGTGCCACAACATGTTGCACTTTCATCGCTGCACATTTTTCCAGCAACACATGGTAAGACATTACCGTTGATCATATATTGTGGTTGTTGACCACTACGTTCCGTCAATGAGCATGGTTGATAATGTGTTGTGTTAAAGCACTTGAATTCTTTTCCATTACAACTTAATGTCGCTTCACTATTCAATTCGGCTCCTTGAGTCGACTGCTGCCAGAAATTTCATTTCGATTTTTATTTTATTTTCATTTTTGAGAAAAAAGGAAAAGGGAAAGAAAAACAATGTAAAATACACATTAGTAACTTTTTTTTAAAGAGAGAAAAAACGACGGTTTTGGTAAATAAAAATGAGCAAATTTCGATTCACAGCCGAGCACAGATCAGAAAATCTATATTCTTTAATTTTTTATATTTATTTCACTTTATAAACACTTTCGAAGTCACAAAAATCTTTGAAAAATCGAAAAAAAAAATTGATGGTGACTCCAACAAATCAATAAATATATTTACCGAAACTAGCAGCGCAATGCCAAAAATAAAAACTATTGATCTATCCATGTTGGATGATGAGAGCAAACTGAATCAAACTAGCGAAAATCACTGAACTTATAACGACGAAAAAAATCGCTTAGAATCAATACGTTGTATGATTTTCGTTCAAAATACACTTAGAAATTAACATTTCCCTATCCCTCTTTTTTTTGTCGCTCTACTCTTTCTCTTTCAATCACTCTGGTGCACACCTTTCTCCCTCTCTCCGACGCATAATTTCACCGAGAGATCAAATTAATTGCCAAAAATGGCCAAATACAGATTGTGATCGATGTGTGTTTGGATGGATTAATTGCCGAAATTCCAAAAATGGAACGAAGTGGAGGAAAGAATCAAATTAGAAATGGGTAAGACCCGAACAACAAAAAAAAGATAACGCATAAATCCATTTCATATATATATAGAGACATTTTGAGGTACACAAAAAAACAATACATAAAATGATGAAGATGGTCAAGATGCACAGCCAGAACCAGTTTTTTAAGGTATCTGTTGATTGCGATAATCGAGACATACACAAATTCTACGACAGCACTAAGCGATTAGACGATATCAATTCCATTTTGGATACATACAGAAGATGAGAAAAAAAGAAACACATTTTTGACACATTAATGATATGCATGTAACCGAAAAAGTCGATTTCAATCAACATGAAGCCGAGCAAAGAAGAAGAAGAAGAGAAAAAACGGTGTGTATACATAATTTATGATCCAGTAATAATTCGTTGGATATTTTTTGGTGAAATTTGCATAAACATTTTCAGATGTTGTGTCGCCGTCGTTACACAGAGGTTAGATAGAAGAAAAAAAAACGGTATCGCCTGATGATTTTTGTTAATGAACGTTGGGTCGAAGCGCAACATTGCGCGACAACACCGATTTTCTACTCGCTTATGAATAATGTATCAATTCTGAAATTGATAGTATTCTTGTGAATTTCTGGTGTACGAATTTGTCAATCGGTTGTAGATAAAAAAAAAATGAAACTAAGATTATGGCGGAAGATTGGAGAGAAAGAGAGAGAGAGAGAGAGAAAGAGACAAAAAAACGTACGAGAATTAAAATAAAACACCGTTATGGAGCCAATGGCACTTCCATTTGATTTGGCTTTCACAATTCGTCATTTGGCCCACATCTTCGGGTGGCGCACAAAGTAATCTTTGGTAGTATTCTTGGTTGGAGATAACGTGCGAGGTATATACTTTTGAACTTGACGAGCATCGATCAAACGAAGAAGAGAACACATCCACATTCGATTAATGTCGCAACAAACCAAAGAGAGATAGAGAAATAAAAACCGTTTTTTCTATGAATATTAATTTAATTTTCAACTCAATTTGACCACTTACCATCCTAACGCCATCAATTGAAATGTGGCAATTTATCAAGAATTTTTTTCTTTCTTCATAATTTCATTCGGTTGATTTGATAGAAAATACGCACTTTGCTAATTTCCACGCCAATAAAATCTATTTTGAAATGCACGATGTTTGTCGTTGAGCCGAGCTACTCAACCCGTAGGTTGTCGAATGAGCATTATATTTGATATCAAGTTTCACAAGATTTGGTCAATTTGAATGATGATTTGGTCAATTTTAAAAAGAACGGTATTCTTCGCATTTAGTTATATCACTCTTGAATTTATTAAGAAATTCTTAGTTTTATTGCATTTTCAAACGAGTGTCGCTCGTTTTTATTGTAAAAGGGCTCTCATCGACGAAAAGAAAAAGAACATAAATTCATTTTTGGTTTAATGTCACCGTTGAGCATGTACGATGACCAAAAAAAACGTTGGCCATAAAATGAGCAGGGCCAATTTTTCTCAACAAGTTCGAAGTTCGATGACTTTGTGTAAATGAATTGATAAAATAAAAACGGTATTTCTGCACACCACATTCAACGGCCAATAAATTGGAATTTAATTACAAAGCGGATTTGAAAGAGGTTTTACGCATCTTTTAGTGTGTATTTTTTCAACTCTTATATTCGATCTATTGGTAATTTATCATTTTGTTGTGCCCAACATTGACTTTCAAATCGGCAAGCAATATTTCATTCATTCTGAAGAGCAAAAAAAGAAGAAACTAGCAAATAATACAGACAAATTTCGCAGAATGAAAGTTTTCGTTTAGAAAATGACATCAGAAAATGTAAATAATTCTTCAATCATTTGAATTTACATTAAAATCTCGAAGAGATCATCGACTATGATGGCAAAAAAAAACAAAACTCATTTCAAATTGATTCGCGTGCAATTGATACTTGTGTGTACTTAAAAGGTTCGCTCCATTCACAAGTACTTTATGAAGTGTACAATGTGAGTGAAGGGTGTCCGATAGGGACAACGCGTCATTTTGACATTTCTCGGCGTTTTTTTAACATTCCCATTTGTTTATATATGTCGCTATATCGTTCTATTGTTAAAACGTTCATGAGTCAACAATTATTTCGAATTTATTCAATAAAAATAAGTGAGACCACTACAAATCAACGATGTCGAAGAAAAAAGACTTTGAAGAGCAACTATTGGAAGCAAGTGAGTGCATAAAATCGATTATTTTCAGTGACATTGGGTTGAGCATTGAATTTGTTATTTAAATTTGTGATTGGTGTGTGTGTGTTTTTTAATTTCAGATACCCCATTGCGACGAAATAGAAAAATGAAAAAGAACCGTCGTGATAAAATTGTTGAGAATAATAAGCATTCGGAATCATTGTTGGCCACCGATTCATCGATTGATGGAACAAATGATGCCGTTGATGTGGAAGAGGACTTATGTGTGGTCGAAGAGCCTGCATCATCCAATCAACGTCAATCAATATCGAATGCCAATTTTGTTGAGATGTCGGCTGCTGATAAATTAAAATCACAGGCCAATAAACAGGGAACAATGGCCGGAATGGCAACGGGAATTGGCAATAGTGCATCAGCAAAACCGAATAAAAAACGAAAAACTCGACGCGGCAGCGGTACATCGAGTGAAGAGGAACGATGGCTTGATGCCATCGAATCCGGAAAATTGGAACAAGTTGATGATGAATTGAAAAAAATTAAAGATCCAAAATTAATGACAGCTCGACAACGTGCCATGTACGAACGAAGCATCGAAAAAGATCCAACGCCAAGCGGACACGATACGCTATTAGCATTACCAACTGGTTACAAAGAAAAAGTGATGACCGCCGAAGCACTCGAAAAGGCACAATTAAAATCACAAAAACGAAAACAAATGGCCGATGAAAAACGTGAAAAAGATAAACGAAAAACAATGGATCGTCTGTTAAAAAAACAGGAAACGAAACTTACAAAAGTGGCCAAAAATAAAATTGTTAAAGTCATTGTACCGGTTATATCATATCAAGAATCAATTGCAAACGGTGCACTATTATCGTATCCATTAAATTTTGAGTTTCCAATGCAGGCACAAGTGGCACGAAAGCCACCGGCAATTATTTTATGCGCAATATGCAATGATAATCGCAAGCGATACACATGCTCGAGAACGAATGTGCCGTTGTGCAGTCTCAAATGTTATAAATCAAATCAAATGCAACGAGAAATCTCTTGCTAACACAAAACTTGCAGAGTCAACGATTGCAGTGTAATTATTCCATTTTATCGATAGTCGATGAAGAACAAACAAACAAACAATTTTATCTCGTAGTAAATAGGGAAATAAACAACCACATTTTTTTAATTCAAATTTAATATCGTTTTTTTTTTCGGCACAACAAAAAACAACAGCGATTTTTTATCAACTCAAAGTCTTTCTTTATTTTATGGTTAGGATTTTAATGTTCTATTTGTTGCCTCCTTTTTTTATTAATTTACAAACATTAATAATAATCAATAATATTTACGTACTAAATTAGTTTTTTGACATAAAATATCATTGTTTTTTATTCAAATTTTTCTCTTTTCTATTCTCCTTCGCCATATCATGTGTTTCTCTCAATAAATTTTTTTTCATATTTGCTCAGTTCTATACAATTATAAATAAAATTAAAAAAATATATGTATTTCATCTGAGTGATTTTTATTTCAATTAAAGTAAATATCATTTGAAATTCGACACGATGGAATATGTATGTGACGAAATCGCGATGAGAAGAATTGAGAGAAAGAGTATTTTTGTAAAAATAGAACACACTTTTATCTTAAATATATTTGAATTGTGTCAACGAACTATATATTTCGCTAGCTTCTTCTCTCTTTGTGTGTGTATGTTTTTTTGGTTGACATTCAAGTTCGTTGTCGTGATGGTTGCGGTGATTGCTGTTGCTTATATATTCATTTCTCTATATGGTGAGTCGTCAATTGCTCTACCATTTCTTCTTCGACGAATGATTTCTAATTTGAAAATTTAGTGTTTTTTTTTTATTTCTAAACTACTATCGTTCCAATTTAATAGTATCGTTTTGGTGGTGTGATTGGTGCGAGATGATGCCCGCATCGAGGGAAATTTGGTGGTACCGGTGGTAAATCGGATTGTGTACCGATATGTATGACCAAATTCATACCAATTAAAATATGAAACAAGAAATGACAATGAAATAGCCAGAAACCTAAATTGAACAAATATTGAAAAGAATTTTTTAATTATTTTTTTTTTTTTAATTATTTTTCATAATATATTTGAAATGTTGACTCCACACCGAACTATTTAAATAAGAACCAAGCCGATTAAATATAAATGCTATAGAGACTCACCTGGATTGTCAGCTCTAAAACGTAAAACAACGTATCCGTTGTTTGGTACGGCTATGGTATCTTTTAACGGTGGCTTTCCAAATTGCCGATGCAATAAACCCTTTCGATCCCATTCGAGCGCATGTTTTAAATTAATCTTTTTTATATTTGCATCTGGTGACCGGCCCATTCCAATCTGAAATCAATTTACATATTTTACTTGCATTCGATTCTCCATAAAAATGGGTTTTAGAGTTTGAAATTTGATCAGAGCGAGTTTTGTGAAATTAAATTTTGAAATTTCGTTGTACACATACCACATGGAATGATGTCCCGTGCAAATGAAACGGATGGCTTAGATTCGTCTGTTGAACTGTAAATATACAAAAAGATATTTAAAAAAAATCATCTTAACAAAAAAAAAAAAATCATCAAAAATGTTCTCACCTTCGTCAACGAGAACGACTTCAACGATTGCATTCAATGGTATATCAACGGTATGAGTACACATGCAATTTAAACCACAATCTGGTGGTCGGTTATCACCGTTGCAAAATTGTTCGGGTGGAATGTCCGACATTTGGGATAGCATTGGTGATGGTGGTGATACATATGAAATTTCATCAATCAATGAAATTAAATGATCACCGCCGGGCGCTACCAAAAATCGATTGTATGTATTTGGCCGGAATAGTTCATCAACGCGATAGAAAAAGAACCGGAATGGAAGAAAGATTTTGACATCGGGACGCTCGACTAATACACCCTTATCATTTTTTCCGGCATTTTTCAAATTACTCACACACACCGCATCCGTACGCTTTCGGTCGCATACCGCATCAAGTGGATTCAATACCTAAACACAATGCAGTGATTTGTTAAAAAAAAAAAGAAAAACAAAAAATACCATGAATATTTTTTTCAAAAATTTACAGCAAAAAAATGTATTTTTGTCATCACCAAAAATCACTGAAATAGAAAATTTTAAACGAAAAATTACTTATTCGAAATGAAAGAAGAAAAAAATCTTGTAAAGAATATTCCAATAGAAATGAAAACTGTACAATATTTACAATAATAAAAAAAAGTGATGAAAAATAGTAAGAAAAAGAATTTACCCCTCAAACTGAAAATCTGGAAAAAATCTATTTACAAAAAGAGATTGTTTTGTTGAAAAAAGTTTGGAATAGAGTATGTAATGGTTTTTTTGTTTTGTTTTTCTCAGGAAATAATATATATATATTTCAATATACAAAATAATAAATTATTTACACTTATGACATACAAATTTCTTCTTTTTTTAATTGGTATCGCTTTCATTCAAAGTTTTGAATTTCAAACGAATGTTGGTGTGTGTGTGTGTGTGTGTTTGTGTATTTATGTGTGTATGTGCGGTCATTACCAATGAAATGGATTCAATAGAAGACTTATTCCTTTTGCCATCAATAAATCTTAATCAATTTTCATTTGTTTTGCCTAATGTGCACCATATTTATATATATTAAATCATTTAAAATTAATGTCTCATCTCTTACATTTTTTTTCGTCATTTTTTTTCTTGCATCATTCATATAATAATTTTTTTTTGTTTCAATTTAAATTATTAATTAATATAATAATAAAATAATTATAAGTCTAGATTAAATTGATTAAAAAAAATTTGCATTTTGTATTAAAATATTAAATTATGAGTAATTCAATAGTTGCGAAAAAATATATAATTTGCTCTAGTTTGGTATTCACTTCATTTCGAAATTTGTGGAACTTGGATTTTTTTAAGGGAAAGTCATTTTAATTAGGGCATTCATGAAGTATTCAATTTTTTTCTGCGATTAATCGGTGAATTGGACAAGAATTGATGGAATGATAAATTGCATTTAAAATGGGATTTTCGGAGGGCTAATGTGTAGGCTAGATGAACGGATCTGGTGACAAAATCACTGAATGTGCGCTTAGTTTCAGTCTATCGTCAATTTTTTTTCTCTATTTTTTTTGTCGCTAATTTGGATTTCTATTTATTCGAAGATTTCATTTTTTGAATTCCCAATTAAAAATCATATGATTCACAGTGGGAATGTAGAAGAAGAAAACACATTTAATTCGAGCAAATAGCATTTCTTCGAAGTCACATCGGGATAATCACGAATGTATTTTAATTATTTAAATCGAAATGTGTGAACGCAAAAAAGTTTGTATAATTTTCTGGCATTAAATCGTGAATTTTTTTAAAAGAGTCATTCCATTTCGATTAATGTGAATGAAATTGTTATTTTTTGTTTGATTTGATTAGTTATTTGTTCATGCCAATGGTGTAAAAAAAAATAAAATAAAATTATAATTTGGCAAAAAGATTTTCTCTACAAAAAAAGGAAAGAAATTCATTATATAAGTTAAAAACAAGCAACGAAAACTTGGCTTTTATAAACTTAGCGTCTAATTTATACAAAAAAAGAGGTTCTGTATGTGAGCATGTTATGGTTGGGGAGTTATAGTATGTTGAGGGAGGGGGAGGGTATCTATTAGAAATAATTACATTGGACTTTATTTATTTCGAACCTTTCATCATTCAAAATGCATGCAAATTTTCCACATTGAGTAGAATGCTTTCAAATTACCCATTATCATCAAATGTGCCGATGTAGTATACAAAAAAAGATATCGATTAGTTTTTGCAGAATAATAATTTTGGAGTTTATAACGACACAAAACCACCACCAAAAAATGAGCAAAAACATGGTTGAGCGCGATTTATCGCCTCTGATATTGAATAGTTGAATTTAAATAGCAAACTCCTTTCTTTATGTACGTGCAAATTCCGAGTCGTGTTCGAGTCTCATTGCATTTGGTTTGATTCGAATTTTTTTTCGTTTAGTTCGTTGATGTGGGTAGTTATTAAATTTACACTAATGCTGTTTAAATGCTACGAAAAATTAAAATGAAGTGTATATATATATATATGTGTGTGTGATAGCCATGTAAATCACATTTTGACACATCGAAAGAGCGAATATATATTATGAATGTCAAAAGAGCGATAATTTTGGGAAATGAAATTGAAAGAGTTGGTAAAACGGGGCAAAAAAAGTTCGGTTTCGTTTTTTTTTTCGTTTGTAAAATGGTGTTCTGAGGTGTTTTATGTTTAATTGATAGGTATTGGTGGTGTGTGATCACCACATGTTGGAAAGTTTGGTGGTATCGGCGGTAAATCACTTTGCGTACCGACTTGCAAAATTAAATTCATTCCTATGACAATGTGGTAGAGGAAATGGCAATGGAATAACCAACTCCCTAAATGAAAAAAAAATATGAAAAAATACGGGGTTAGTTCATCAAAGAGATCGAATTGATCGGCAAATTAAATCTCACCGGGATTATCAGCTCTAAAACGTAATACAACATATCCATTATTTGGTACAGCTATTGTGTCTTTTGATGGTGGTAAATTATATTGTCGATGCAATAAACCGCGACGATCCAAATCGAGTGCGTGTTTTAAATTGATCTTTTTTACATTTGTGTCCGGCGATCGGCCGATACCAATTACACTATAACTGTAACCATGCAAATGGAAGGGATGACTTAGATTTGGTTGTTGAACTGAAAACAAAAATAAAAATGTCATTAATCGCATCGAAAACAAAATAAAAGAATAAAATCATTTCATACCTTCGTCAACTAAAACAATTTCAACGATTGCATTAACCGGTATATCAATTTTGTGGGTGCACATGCAATTATTGCCACAATTAGCCGGACGATTGTCACCGTTACAAAATTGCTCCGGATTGATGTCATCGTATTGTGTTAGAAGTGGCGCTGGCGGTGACAAATATGAAATCTCATCGATCAACGAAATCACATGGTCTCCGGTCGGTGCAACTGTTTTATGAATTAAAAAAACTCATTAATATCATACCCTATTCAATTTAGAGAAAAAGAACAAAAAGTATACCCAAGAATCGATTGTATGTATTGGGTTGGAAGAGCTCTTCGACACGATACAAATAGAACCGGAATGGCAAGAAAATCTTAACATCTGGTTTTTGCTGCAAAATATCTCGATCGATTTGCTGGGCATTTTTCAATTGTGACACGCATATAGCGTCATCACGCTGCTGGTTACATTGGGCATCCAATGGATTCAAAACCTACATTTATTTCAAATATTCGGCATGTGCGGATGCAAATCGAATTACGGGTGGATGCAATTTTTTGTTTGTTTAATAATTGGTGAAAGTGAATGCATCGTTTTTTTTTCACCGTTCAAAAAAGATACAGAACAAAAGAAAAAAGAGTGAACAAAAAAAAAATATTTTCAATTTAATAAATGTTTTTTTTTTAAGAAATTTCTTAATCGATGATTAAAATGTAAAATAATATTGATTCTATTGTGATTCGACGTATTTTTTAAATAGTCTTAGCCGATTTAGGGTTTTCAAAGTTTTTTTTTCATCTCAAAGGCCATTCGATTAAAAAAAAAAAACACTAATTCGCAAAAATTATGTAAAATAAAGACATAAAAACGAAAAACTGAAGTTTATAACTCACGGTTCGACTTTATCTTCTCAATACAATATCTTTTTATGCGGGGTCTCTGAAAACTAAAAATGTATATCTGTGTGCTTGCCACTAAACACACTTGCACAATTTGAATTTCTTTTTGGTCACCAAACGTATTTTTATGTACGAAAAGAGAATTTAAAACATGAAAACTATTTTACAAATATATAGATTTACATGCAAATTGGATTTATAAAAAATCCCGACAAAATTGAATAGAATTTTGTTTTCTCTTAATAAAAAACAACCGTCAATGTGAGAAAAGTATAGTTTACATATATACAAAAGAAAGAGAAGAGTATTTATGAAGAAATATATACATAAAAAACTGAAGAAAAAATATAAAGAATGAGACCTGAACACATTATTAAAATTATCGATGTGATATATTTATATTGTATATGCACTTATTCCGGAGAATGGAAATGATCATAATTTTTTTGAATGTTGCTTAATTCGCGTCTATTTACATTATATTTACATGTATTTTTTATGTACAAAATAAATGATGCGACACAGTGTGTGACATCTTAAGAATCAGACTTTATTCAGATGATAGTGTATGAAGATAGGATCACATTTTCAAAATGAAAAAAAAGTTGCCATTTTTCTATGCATTTCGTTTTCATTCAACGGATATTCTGGATGAATGAATGGCGAAGCAGAAAAAAGTGCGAAAAAAATTGTACTTACGACTCCTTGTGGCAGACCGACATCGTATGTTGGTGCAGCTGCTGTTGGTTGGTATGGACCACGGGCATAACGAAGGATGGCCAATTGTTGTACACGTCGAATACCACATTCACCCAAACCACGAGCTTGAATCCAATAAGCTCCAACTGGTTGATCAGCATTTATTACGAAATCGTATCTTTCACCTGAACGATTTGGTGGAGAGAAAGAGGAAAATAGAGAGAGAGATAGTGAGGAAGAGAGAACAAAAGAGCATAAGCAAATGAACGCAATAAAATATAACAGACGCAATTTAAAATAGTTTAATTTATATTATGGCATGTATGTACTTGTTTTAATCTGTGAAAGCCATATTTAGGCGGTGCACACACAGTAAACGACCTTGACCATACGCATTGTTTAAGCCATATTACCAGCGCACCACATCAATCTCTCTTTCTTCATACATACAATTCGTTTTGTCTCAATCAAATCCATTTTATTCATTTCATAAATCTCCGGAGCGCGTGCACAGTTTGAGACCCGTGTAAATTATAAATTATTATGTATATACAAAATATATATAAAAAATTATATGTATTTTACAGGCAATTACGGGGCCGTTCACAAATATTGAAATGCTCAATGAAATTTAATTTGAACCAATTAGCTGTGTTGCTTTTTTACGCATTCTTTCCTCATATGGATCGATCGAGCAACCATGTCAGGTTGGAATAACCAAAAAAACCATACACTCTCTACCTTTGATTGCGCGCACTGCATTCAGGGGCATTAAAACATGTGCCCATTTTCTATTCATATATTATTTTGTTGAAATCAATAAGTTTTTTTATTTGGACAATATCTTGAAAAATATATATACAATTAGATCGCTACGATCTATTAGAGAATCATAAACTATGTGCCAGACCGTATTTAATGCACTCAGCAAGGATAGAGAAAAAAAGAGTGCCAAATGAATGCATGAATTATTTCCTTGGCATGACTACAGCAGTAACATTAACGGTAGCAAGTTTTGTCCAAATTGCATGCATTGAAAGTGGTTGTAATGACGCATTAACTTATATAATTGGAGCAATTCTTTTCGCTAGTACTTTTACGTGCAAAACTGGTCTAAGGTTTTTCTTCTCTCGTCTGAATTCAGTTCCTCTCAGATTCAATGAAAACGATTTGCAAGAATACGAACAAGAAAAATGACACCAAAGCAATTTAATGGCTAAAAAAACAACTTACCCGAAAATGAGATAATAGTATTCACTTGAACTGGATGCACTGGCTCGCCGTCAGTTGCAATTATTGTCAAACCATGACCTTCGAATGTGATTTGTGCTGGACAAACTGACGCAAATGCATTAATTAAACGGAAACGATATCGTCGACCTGGTGTCATTGTGAATATTTCGAGCGGTGTATTTGTCATGAAGCCAGTGTTTGGATCACGGAATTGTCCACGGCCATTGATTAGCATTGATTCGGGATCTTGTCCGGTGTTGACAGCCAAACGGCCGGGATAACGTTCGGCAGCATCTTCATGCAACCAATCACTAAGTAATACAATGTGTGTCGTCAAATCAAAATCGTATAAATGCGAATTTGGATCACGTGACGGTGGCTGACGTACGATCAAACTACCATAGATACCATCGATTTTTTGAAGACCAGTATGTGCGTGCCAGAAATGTGTTCCGGAATTGCCAGTAAATTGATATCTATTTGTGGTGAAAATGGGTAGTTAAACTTTGCATTTTTTTTTTAAATGAAAGAAGAACTTCGTCGGACTCCTTCTGTACTATGAATTGATGATCACCAATCCAGAAGAGGTTCACCTACCTGAATGTGTTGCCTTGTTGAATTGGACATTGCGTTACAAACGGTACACCATCATAGTATTGTGATCCACGTTGATGAATGCCGTGCCAATGGATTGTTACTTCCATGCCTTCCATATGATTTTCCACATCAACAACAACCTTATCATTTTCACAAACTTGTATACTTGGTCCGGGTATCATACGATTTGCTGTCAATATACCACGTTCAACGCCATCGGCAAGCACACACTGGCAATGACTCCATACGGTGTTTGTTGCATTTGGTGTGCACACTTGACATGCTCTACATTGCGATCAAATCAAATTTGAAGAGAGAGAGAGAGAGAAAAAAATGGAGATACCAAAAGCAAATAATAAATTAATTGCACAATTTGTGAGACGATCGACACGAAAAAACAAAAACAAAAAATTGAAACGAAATAATTAGAAATCAATATCATTGCCAAATATACATTACATATTCCGCACATATGCGTGCACATTTTTCCATCTCTTGCCTATCTTGTCGTTTATCACGATGTGCCCGATCGGTTCAATATCACACACGCGTGTTGTTGGGCTACCATGTTACCTTTTAGTTGTTTTTAGTTGTAATTAACGGATAAAATTACGAAAAAAAAAGTATGACAGAAACGAGATGATATGTCGTAACTCTCGAACATTACTTCAGGGCCAACCACTGAACAAATAAATGTTTACCGTTTGTTTTGTATATGCCGACTGTTGTGTGATTTGTGTTTTTTCTCTCTCTTTCTCTCTCTCTTATCTCTCTCTTGCTCGTGCTCACTCTTTTCCTTATTTGATTTATGTTTCGTTTCACTAGCATTAAGACAAGAAGAAAGAGAGAAAAAAAACACACACATAGAGATTGCTTTGGTGCAATAGCTCAAATGAGCTACCAGCGCACATACATAAATATCTTAATTGTCTAATCATTTGAAACAAAAACCGATTTTTTTCCTCTTTGCTACATTCGTTAAAACAAAGAAACAACTACAAAAACAATCTGAGAAATAATTCATAGTTGATGGCATAAAAGTGTGTGCTGGTTTTGATTCAATGCTTTTGCTCTATTGCGCGATCTTCGGCTTTTGATGGTGCTGTTGCCGCTATTCCTTTTTCAAATGGTCCACATTGAATTGGTCAGCTGTCACTCAATTTTTTGCATCATTCATTATTTGTTTTGGCCATTTTTCTTTACATTTTTTTTTTTTTTTTTGATATTTATAAACGATGCAATTTGTTGCTGTTCAAATTGCAATTTTGTTCAAAAACGTATTTAGTTCATCTCAAAGTCAAATGGACAATATTCATGATATTGCATCGAATTTATTGCCTAATTAAAGCAACGCGTATTGTTTCATCAACACTTGATTTCCGCAATTTAAGTGTGAAACAAGAAGCAAAGAGATACCATATGGTATATACCAACAAACCGCATACAAAATATATCGCATTCAATTCTCAATCGAATTTGAAATAAGCGGTTACTTTTGAACTCAGAAATACATAATTTATGTGCTACATATGTTTATCAAGATCGACGCATTGGATCTTTCCTAGGGGAAAATGAATTGTTGTAAGTTCATAAGTATCTGTTAGTTTCACAAGTTCGCGTAAGAACTCTTGAGTTCTACATACATTTTTGTAAGTTCGTCTAAGTTTTACGTAAGTTCCTATAGATTACTAGTAAGTTTTTCAACGTCAATTGAAAATCGCAGAATGTTGGAAATGGTGCTAAATGTTAGTCATGTCGAATCAGATAGAAAATAATTTGTATAAATATGTCGAGACAGTTTTCGGTGGAAAAATACCAAGAAATATAAATTCGCCTAATTAGACGTCATTTTTGAAAGAGTCGGTTTTGATAGTGAATAATCAGTAATGTATCTCAAAGATCCACAAAGTATTATTGCTTATGAGTCTATGAGTGTTGAGAGCGATGCCTCAATATCAAAATCAGGTCTTTTAAGGATGATATCCAATTTACTAGGTAATTTTTATTTTAAAATCCGTTCTACTCTTTTGTATAAATTATTTGCAGCGTGAAATGTAATTTAAAAAAATTGACCAGCGTTGTATCATTTGACTACTACATGTGCGACTGTTTCGACATTTTGACGCATATCGAACTTACAGCAGTGTGTTAATGTATATGGACAAAGCGTAAGTTCGTATAAATTCTCATAAGAAGCGTGCGATTTCATAAGTTCGTCTAATTTTTTGTAAGTTTTTCGTACAATTCTATAGCTTTCGTCGAACTTATAAGTAGTCATTTTCCCCTAGGATCTTTCTACTTCGAATTTCTTTGAAAAACTCACCGCAATTTATAAACTTGTTATAATCAGCTGATTTTAATTAAGTGGCTATGAGAGTAAGGTCTAATTTGCTAAGTTCTTTTTGAGATTTTTTTTACATAAACACATATTTGTCATTGATTTCAAATATTTTGTTTAAATTGGCGATTTTGATTTCGAAATTTTTTCGATTCGATTCATTTCTTAAAGAAGTTTTCAACTTACGCTCCCAAAACCGTATAATATTCAAGTGTAAAATGATAGTAACATATTCTAGGTGGTTCTCCCTCTCGACAGGCGCGTGCACATTCATCTGGTGCCGATAAATTTGGATTGCGACGTAATTCAGCCGTTGCACTGCTGGCAAAGTCCAAATGTCTATATGGCGATTTTGGATTAGCTGCCGCTAATGTTGCACCCAACGATGGATTTATTGATGTGCCAGTTCGAATGCCAGCCGGCCGTGAAATGCCACCGCTCAGCGATGGATGTGTTTGAACTAAACCATGTGTTGCCGAAAAGAAGTTATTATCTATTGCTGATAAATCGGCGCCCGGCGTCGTTATGTGAGACCGCCAAAATGATTCGGCCGTCGATTGATCTGATTTATCTGATGTGTCTGTGAACGAAACGAAAGAAAAAAAATATAATTAATGTGAATCCAACCATTTCGTGTTCTTATTATTCTGTTCAAGGTGACGGAGGTCTTGTTCTCATACACAATTAAAAAACCATGAGCCAATGTGGCGTTAAGAATGGATATTTGTGCACAAATAGTGTAACAATGATATTCGATATTAATTAAAAGACAGAAAAATGAACTAATATTTTAACACCCAAACAATGCTCAATACACACAATGATGATGACAAACATTATGGCCACATTTATGCAAATTTTTTACCATAATTTACTTGTTGCGATTATTTCCCGTTATTTTTTTTTTCTTATTTACCAATTGTTGTGGTGGTTTTTTTTGTATATTTCGTATGACTTAATTGAAATGGGCGAGAAAAAAAAGCGGTTGAAAACAAAATGAAATCGTAAATTAAAAAATTGCAAACTTAAGAAATTGTAAACGAATTAAATGCGCACATTCACTCAGGCGCAAATTAAAATGCACACATTCACATTTTGAAGAGATAGAGGAAGAAAAAAAAACAAACCATTTATAAAAATATTTCACACCAACCAACGAATTTAGACCGAATAAAATTCGTGTGCCTCAATTATTATCATTGTTTTTTTGCTTCTATTCTCTCTTGATTTTTTTTCGGCAAAGACAGACATAAATCATTGTAATACATAAAATTCATTGTGCCAAAAAGAGCGGATGAAAAACTACAAAACAATAAGAATTCAAAGGTAAAAAGTGAATAAAATGATCACATTAAGAGAGAGATAGATAGATAGACAGAGACAGTCAGGGTGTAATTGAAAATGTTCAGCCTTCCGCCAAACAAATGAAGAGAAAAAAAGGCAGTCGCGCACATAGAGCCCGTGAAATTACCGTATGATGAAAATGTCATAATCAAGTTAAATGTGCGCTGTGTGAGCGATCATAAGCGGCACGGAAGAATGGATAAAATATGCTGTTTCTAATGTCTATCTTAAATGGCATGCGCGCACACATATATCATGGAATCACTTGCTGGAACAATACATTGTATGTAAGAGATAATGCATTTTGCGGCAATGACGATGGCGACAGTGGCCGGGTGCCACCGACAACAATGCATTCAATCTGTCTAAATACTTAATTATAGATGACAGTCCCAGTGCTTTGTTACGTATTGCTACAAATGTTGCCATTTTTTTCCTCTATACCATTTGTGAATTTTTTTTTTCGGTGAGCGTTATCGTTCTAAACCATCTGGATGCTAAAGCTCCATTTGAATATGTAACACACTTTTTTGCTGGTTAATGACATAATACCCGATTGAATTGAAGAAATTCGATAAAACCACATTTCTATTCGATATGTCGTCAGAGCGTCCATTTGTAACATTCTTCATCGCTTAGACTACATACGCCGACGGTTTATTTTTAATACTATAGATGTTTATCGAAACTGTGGATCAATAATGTTTTTACTGATAATTGGATTCCGAAAGAAACGTAAGAAGAAGAAACAAATTATTCAAGCACATCAGCACAGTGACCATTAAACGATACTGTAAAACGAGTTTAGCCAAGATGACTGCGTAAGCATCTTTCAATTTATTAGCTCGTCATAACGGTACTTATATTTCTTCGTGTCCATCGCGTTAAACATGCTCGTAGGCAGATTTCAGCTGATCAATCGCTTAAGTCAACCTTTTTTTGTTCGTTTTTGTTTTATCACTTTGTCATCGCTGAAGATTAGCTCTGTTGTTAATAACCATAACAGAGCTGAAAATAACAAAGAATGAAAAAATTGACGAAAAATAAATGATCGATTTCGTCACATATTTTGGTGAACGAAAAGAAATGAATGTTCAAAGTGACTTTTGGAAAACAATTGCATATAAATCATAAGACATTCACTTCGAATTTCGTAGGCGTATTGATTTGGTCTGATTGAAATAGAAAAAATCACAATGAACATGGAACAATTAGAACAGAATCAAATAAAAAAGCGTTGATTCATTTGCACAATCGACAGACAACAAGAAAACGGTAACAATTGTTTTTTTTTTTTTGTTTAAAAACAAAACAAACGATTGCATAGTGTATAGTGTTCGACACAAATGTTTTTTTTTGCCGCAATAATTTTTGTCTTGATTCGTGTGCATGTGCGAGTAATGAGTGTGCGGCGCAATTGCATTCGCATGTTTTGGATAAATGCGTTAATTCAATGAGTGATTATTATTATGTGTGTGTGTGTGTGTGGGTTTTGCGTCGACAAAATTTTCACATTATTTTTTTTTTCCTTTCTTTGATTGCGAAGTTATGCTTTTCAATTTGACGAATTGATTGATTGGTGGAAAGAAGAAAAAAGCAAATTTGTATGAAATTGTGTAGGAAAAGCCGGCAAATTGAGCTGAACACCACAAAAATTACAAATAGATAATTACAACTGAATCAGAAGCACAACTGCTCTGCATCGACGTAAAATCGCATGAATTTATGAATGCAGTGCATCGATGATTCGGCGCACATGTAATCCCATTAATTTATCAGTGTGCAAGCGCATATTCTATGATATTAAAAATATATGGCGCGGGCGCATTTAATATATGCGATTTGCGCGTAATACTCACGATTCATGTGTGCGCGCACACCGCATTCATAAACAGAGGGAGGGAGAGAGAGAGACAGAAATATTTTGTAAGGGAAATTCAGCACATAAGTGCAAATGTAGTAAGAATTTGCGCGCATTTGTAATCAAAAGTGATTGAAGAAATTGGAGGAAAATTGGATGTGTGTGTTCGATTGTATTATTCAATAGGCAGCAAATATTCGCACATAAATTGTTGAATGTTTGTGCGCAGCTTTAACGTTTTTGTTGCCACTTTTCCACTTGAGTCGGTTTATAACAGTTAACTTTAACTTCGACTTTAATATTTAATTGTTTTCAGCTGTTTCATTTTGCTTCTCTTGTTTTAAATCATGTGCGAGCACTCACACACACTCATTGAAACGATACCGACAATCAACACACTGAAATTCGCAGTGTACATGCATAATTATCATCGTATTGCACCTTTTTCTGACATTAAAACGCAATTTTCATGTTTATTATTGTTATTGTAATAAAAAAAATTAAAGAAAAACGTCCAACGATAACTTAGAATTTGTTGAAAAACAACAAAATCGGATATTTTGAAATGGAAATTGTGCGGTGATTATGTTGAGCATGACGATTAATGCATTTTTGAGACACAGATAGAAATGAGACAAAGATAAATATAAAAAAGCAACAAAGACAGATTGAAACGAAAAGAGAGAAAAATACCGTTAATTCTGGTGTGATAAGTCATTAATGAGCCACATTATGCATAACGATTCATAAGGTAAACAATTTTTGATTTATTTTTTAGGTTCACCAACGGGAATTGGCTGCGTATTTACCGGACGAAAAAAAAGAACAATGGAATTAATTGATTGCGTGTTTCGTGAGTTACACACACACATAGTAAGAAAGCCCAAAGGGAAATCGCTTTTTATGATTATTATTCATACTAATATGTTGCTCTTTCAATGTTGCACATGAGTTAATGTGTGTTTATTTTATTTTCTTGGTAGAATAAAGCAATTTAATTAGCTGGTTAAAGTTGTCGGTTAATTACTGACCGCTACGCCCGTTTCATCTCAGATTTTGGGGTCAATTTAAAGCGGCGCGTATCGCACCATTGACAAGAAAGAAAGAGAGAGAGAGAGAGAGAGAGATCTTGGTGAAGAAAGCGAGTACATGAGAAAAAAACCGATTTTCATTTCCCAATTCCAACACACCGGTGGGTCGACCGAAACAATCAATTATTACCACGATGCTTTTTATATAATATCTTAACCGGTGCTATTTGCGAATCGAAACAAAAAAAACCTCCGTTTAATTTATTAGGCATTTGACTATTAATCTTCATTTAATTTATTGAATAATAAAACAACTTGATTGGTAATCGAATGAAGAAAAAATTGGCGCAGCTCAATAAAAACAGTCAATTATTCATTTGAAATTTTTTAAACGCATTTTTAGTGTCATCAACTCAATTTTTATTGATGGCTACCGTGTCAAATTTTTCTACATTTTTTTATTATACAAAAAAAAAAAGAAGGACAAATTAAGATGAATTCCAGATGCTTTCCAATACGAAATCATAGTAAAAAATCAAGTAATTTCTCGAAAAAGATTCATATAATTTGTTGGCAAAAAAATGCATAAAAAAGTTAAACAGATGGTTCTTAACAGTGATTCTACGAAACTTGAACCTGTTAGGAAAAAACCTAGGGGGTAGACACAATAGAGAATGAATTCCAATGAATTGTCATAATACCTATCTATTTTGAAATACGACAAATACTAACTTATTTAAAGATTATTTGTACCAAAAATGTGAATACCGTGATTACCTAATGTCAAATTGATATCGGTAATAAAGATTTCCAGTTTTTTCCATTTCGTTTTAACATTCACCATTTCGAAATTTATTTTAATTTTTTCTGTTTTCTTTCTGTTATTTTTATTAAAATTATTTTTGCATTTATTAAACCAATTGAAATAATACACTTAATAGCATTGAAAATGTTTTTTTTTTTAAATTTGGAAGATGATATTCATATAGTACACATTGTGAGACATTGCTGAATACATTGACATTTCGTCTAAAACTGAGAATACCAAGAATACCTTCAATTTCGGTGAATATCTCAAGTAATATTCCATGTGTCTACCCCTTAGGAAAAAATCCACCTTGATTTTACTTACTTCCGAAATAAAAATCAAATAAAATGGAACATTAATTTTTAGGTAAAAGATAGAGTCACCATTAATTCATTTGCCAATGAAAATGTAAAAAAAACGGTTGAAAATAAGCAAAGAAAACGGTTTTATCACATTATTTTCATTTAATTGGACCGCAAAAACTAAACCAAATGCATATAAAAACGGTGCCAACCAATCTTCACGCAAATGTTTTC